ATGGGGGGGAGAAAGAACGGGCAGGCAAAGGGGTGGGGGAAGGAAAAGAAAAGAGAAAAAGGAAGAAGGAGAAGTAGGGAGGGGGGAAGAGGGGGTAAAAGGAGAAAGAGAAAAGAGGAAGGAGGGAAGGGGGAAGGAGGGGGAAGGGGGGAGAGGAGGGACAGGGAAGAGAGGAAGAGGGGGGGGAGAGAAGGAAAAAAGGAGAGAGTGGGGGGAGGAAAGGAAAAAGGTGGGAAGGAGGGGGAAAAGGAAAAATAAAGGAGAAAGGGGGTGAGAATGGAGGAAAAAGGAGAGGAAAAGAGGAAAGGAAGAGGGAAAAAAGAAGGGGGTGGAAGGGGAAGGGAGGAGGGAAAAAGAAAAAACGGGGTGAAGAAGAGGAAAAAGAAGAGGAAAGGGGAAAAAAAAGGAGAGGAAAAAGAGGGGTGGGAGGAGGGAGAGAGGAAAGAAGGAAGAGGAGAGGGGTGGAAGGAGAAAAAGAGGGAGGAAGGGGGAGAAAGAGGGGGGACTTGATATGCTCATTAAGCCTTGCTGGTAGTGGCCCTAATGAATTCGCCTGCCGTACTAGAGAGGGAAAGCTATAAGGATATCGCCATGTTACATCGCACACTTGCACCTAACAGCCCATACCAGGACCGCAGCGTCGGGCGTAGCTTTGCGCAACAAGGTTAAGGGCCATCAAGTGACCTCCACACGTTAGCATGCGAGATCTAGGCTACCGCCTAACTTGGGGCGGAACCTGTACAGAGCCGTCTATCTCGACGAAAGGCTGTTACGGCCGAAAGAGATTGGGCTTCGACGGCCTATGCTCAAGCGGAGCACCACCGCACTCCATTCTGCATGGGCGGCCGCGATGAAGCATTTAGGCAGCAATCCCCTCGCACTGGGAAGAAAGCATGACACAGACGCGCCCAAGATCGTCCTGCTCGTAACACAATCATCCCCATCTGGGACTATCCGCTTTGGGCTTGTTGAGCAGCTTGCATCATCTGACATTATTCCCAGCAATTCACGCGTCAGGTCTCGTCTCAGTTTGGTAACTGGCACTGGGCGCTAGTGTTTATAAGCCCACAACGCGGGACCGCCGCCGATACACTGGGGATCCCGCCTTCCAGGAGGGGCCCAGACGACTTCATCGTCATAAGAGGGCGTTAAACGAGCCCCGGACCAGTTCCCGCTGGGAAGGGGCACACAACTACCGGTTACCAACCGCGGCGGGGGGATGTGAAGGCGGCCTTGGGCGATCAGACCATACCATAAGCCGCACCCCCTAAGCGCCATGCTGTTGTGGCACCGGCTCGTCCCAGGCCGCTACGTCACTCCGTTGGCACGGCTCGAGCAAACGTTAATCGGGGGCCACTACATCAATGCTCGCCCCCCGAAATGGGAGGACCCACCAAGCGAGGCGTTGCGACCTACCCCACGAGACGGCTGCGCGAAGAAGGCTACGGATTCCGGTACGCAGACAGATCTGCCTACGCTCTGAAAGGGGTGGCATTTGGACGAGACGACGAGAACTCGCCGAACATATGGCGGCGCAAGTATGTTCAGGAGCCCCACAAACCCCTTCCTCGCGGGCGGAACATAGGAACATAGGCGGCGCAACGTCGCGCTGCTTGAACCAGCTGCCCGGCTTTACATCCCGCCGGCGAGTGCGGGTGGGGGGTGGCCTACGGACCGCGCGCGGTGATGCCGCACCAAGAGCCGCGCAACCGCGGGCGTCACTGTCGGCTCAAGGGAGCTCGGGCCCGCACCGTTACGAGAGCATCAAAAACTAAAAACCGATCTGTCCTGCAGTTAACGCCCTACAACGGTATAGCGCCCAGATATTCTGCCATGTGCTTGGAGACACTTCATGCCGAGGATAGCAGCTATAAGTCTAGTCTGGGATGCGACGGCGGCGTTGACACACTAATGACCAGCAATGGCGCAGCCTGCGTCTCATGGGCTTAAGTAACGCATCCCCGCATCCCAGCGAGATCGGCAAGGAACTCTGAGCTATTCAGCCCATAGTCAGTTAGGGTCCCGGCCACCGGGCAATCCCGTCGAAGAGAAACGCCCAGTGCAGTAAGTCCAGACTATAAGGAAGACACCGAACGTAACAGAAAGGGACTCGCCGTCTAGTCAACGGCGGCTTCCCGTCTTTCGCAATCTGTGGAACTTTGTCTGAACAGTTTACAGCGCGGGTCCCTGATTGCGTTGTCAAACCAAGTAGGATCAGCGGCGACATTTGCGCCGATGAACTGCGCCTCCTCTCTGAGTAAAGAACGTGCTCTGTATGGCGCGTGGCTTCCAGGTTCATGTGTTATCCAAGCCGAACTACGATCCCAACCCCAGCCACGCACTGGCCACAGGCGCATTCAGCGCCATGATGACGAGCAGAAGCGCCTGTACACCGAACTTTAATTTCCTGTCTAACCAGGGTATGTAACGTCCTATCAGACCTATCCCCGATAAGCCTGTAGCGCGCACAAGCAGCATCACTAAGACTGTCGCGCGTACCCAGAAATGGGACATCGCTTAAAACCGGGTATAGCTCATACATAACAGCCCAAATCCAGTACGCGCCGCATGCCACAGAAACAGGAGGGCGAACACAGCCCCTAGGCAAACAACCAAGGCAAATTTTCAGCAAAGCAGCGCCCCGATGTGGGCAAAAGCAACTGCAGGGAGGATGTGCCTGTAAAGGATGCCGTGCCAATCTGTCTTCATCGCAAACGGCGTCACCTCGTTTCACAGTAATGGTTCTATCGCAGATGGGCGAAGGTTGGGCCGACCTATTAAGGGCGTAGACTATATTAATGAGATTATGAAGCGTAACATAGATTAGAATGGCTACGCCATCTGCGCGCCAAACAATCAGAGAAAATCCCCGCCAGTGAATGAATGAGTGTCAAGACAGCTAAGGATATGCACGATCTGCGATCCGGACTTCCCATCCCGGTGGTAGCGTCTTCACTCCGATCAAGTTTCTACTAACTGATATCAAGGATAGGCCTTCACTATATTGTGGCCGTTAGGGGTCGTATTCGACTCACGGAAACATCACGTCCTAGCCATGGGGAACTTTGTATAGGGCGGAGCAAGTCTCCTCGTGACAGGGGCTGGTGCATATTGATGGACTCAAGGTATATCTTATAGGACTTGTGTACTCATGCACCTACCGAAGTCGTTCTTAGGGGCGCGACTGTGTTTAAGTACTTCGGATTAGCTGATCTACTTGAAACGTAAACTGATCCTCTGCCATTCCGCCTCGTATGGCTCCCCAAACCGCTCCACGTGCGCCACCTGATCAAGGCTCTTGCGATTCCTACGCCCTTGCCTTCCCATGTTGGCGTGCAGCCGATAGCCGAACGGCAAAACGGTCAGCAGGACGAGATGATCAGGTATGCCCAGCAAATCCTTAATCGCTTGGTTCTGCTCGGCTTGCCGAATGCCCACAAAGCAGGTCCCAAGTCCCTCCTCCCACGCCACAAGCTCCATCTGCTGCAACGCTCGTCCGGCGTCAAGCTGCGCCCTAGGCGTGTCGTCAGTGGCTATGGCGATTGCCATTGGCGCGTCCGCAATGAACGGCCCCTGCGTGGCAAGCTCACCCAGCCGCCTAATGGTCTCAGAGTTCCGAACCACTACGTAATAACATGGTTGCAAGTTCTGTGAACTCGGCGCGAGCCTAGCCGCCTCCAGCAGCTTCATCACCACATCGTCGGGCACCGGATCAGGCTTGTACTCCCGCACTGTCAGCCGCGACAGTACCGCATCATAGACTTGCATAGCACCCATCTCCAATCCCGACATGCTGATTCACTGACTAATCGACATATCGACTAACTCTTCACACCGGATACCGCCAGACCTCGCCCCTCGGCGCCTCGTCCGACAGCTTGAAATGCGGCACCGAAAAGCCGTCCTCCGTGTCCAGGAACACCACTTCCACCCGCTTGCCTATGCCCACATTCTCCGGGTCCTCCGGCACCATGCTGTCATTAAGCAGGTTCGCCGTAATTCGCAGCCCATTCCCCGGGTTCGGCTCGCCGCTCTGCTCGTCAAGCTCAACCAGCACCACCGTGTACGGCACCCAGTCGCGGAACGCGGGCATAATCGCGTGCATGATGACCTGGTAGCTGTAAATCGTCCCCTTGCCGCTAACTTCTTGCCATTCCCAGTCCAGCGACGCGCACCACGGGCACGCCGCGCCCGGCTCGCCACGCAGCAGCCCGCAACCCTCCGCGCCGCACTTCTTCACGACCAGCTTATGCTCCATCGCCCCATCGAAATAGCCCTTGTACTCGCTGTCAAGCTCCGATATGTTCGAGCGCCAGACCGCGATACTCATAAATCGGCATTCTCTTACCCTCCACAAGGACAAGGCGCTGCTTACGCCTCGACAATTGTCACTAAACATTGGCGTTCAGCCGGGCAATCAGTGCAATCCTGACTGCTGACCGCTGACACCTGCACTCTACTTATGCATTATCAGCGCGCTTCCCACGCCCGGCATCGCCCATCCCATGTTCATCGATATGTTCACATCCGGGACCTGACGGCATCCACCCTCAGAGTAGTCGTAGGTATGCTCGCCATCCGCCCAGTTCGGGCAATAGTCGTCCACCGTGCCGCGAATCTGCCGCGTATTCTCGATGACCATATTCATGCCGTGCGTGTACCCTTCGCACAGGTGCCCGCCGCTCGTGTTGTTCGGACGCCTGCCGCCCAGGTTCGTGATGCCACTCGTCACATAGTCCTTGCCCTCGCCCTTCTTCGCAGAACCCGTAGTCCTCGAACTGCAAGAGCGTCGTGTATGTGAATGCGTCGTAGCACCCCGTTACATCTATGTCGTCATGCGTCACGCCCGCAAGCTCGAACAGGCGCGGTCCACATAGTAGCCCGCCACCCGCGAAATCGGCGCGTACTGGTAGTGGAAATCACCGCCCGGCTTCACGCCTCTACCCTGCACAGCCATGATGTACGCCGGTGGGTGCTGCAGGTCCTTCGCCCGCTCCGCCGATGTAACGATGATGCATGTCGCGTTGTCCGTCTCAAGGCAACAGTCCAGCAGGTGCGCACACGGCTTCACGATCCAGCGCGAGTTCACCACGTCGTCCACCGTAACGCGTTGCTTCATCAGCGCCTTAGGGTTATTGCTCGCGTGGTTGCTGTGCGTAACCTTGATGTTCGCCAGGTCTTCGCCCGTAACGCCGTACTCCATCATGTGCCGCGTGAATGTGAACGCGAAGCTCTGCACCGCGCTCGCCACTCCGTATGTGCGCCTCAGCAGGTCCGATCCGCCAATAGGCGCAGCCGCGCGCGCGCCCGTGCCGCCGATCCGCACCTGCGAATACCCGTTCATCGCGCGGAATATCGCCACGGTATCGCACATACCTGCTTCGATAGAGCCGATGGCAAGCCCGATGAGCGCCTCAGTGCTCGAACCGCCGCCGGAGCAGTCCATGTAAAAGTTCAGCCGCATCCCCAGGTCGTACATCATCGTCGTCGAAGGCGTCGAATCGCCCCCGTGATAGCTCAGCATCCCGTCCACATCCTGCGGCGTCAGCCCCGCGTCATAGATCGCGTTGCGTATAGCCTCCACGCCCAGCGCTCGCGTGCTGCGCCCCGACGCCCGGCTATACTCCGTCTCTCCGACGCCAACAATTGCGTACTTGTCTTTCAGTCGTCCTTCCATTTATAGCCCTCCTAAAGCATCCTCAAACAACGCCGTAAGTATCGCCTGTTCACGCATCATTGGCAAGTGCGGCTCCACTCAGAAGAGCGGATGAACCTGGGATGGGATTTATCGGTCGACCTCACATCAATCTGCCTCAACCGACATTGCCCACACGCATCGGACAGACTTCACAATTAATATCTCAAACGCAAGCCCTTGGGTGTATGAGAAAGCCCCTTTAGTTGTGGATAGACAGTAATAAATGCAACGATTATCTGTCCTTATATAACAGCAATGTATTATATTTCAAAAAAGGTGCGATAAATACTTGACAGCATAGCATAAGCGTGTCATGCTTTTCTCTCGGCAATCTTTGGGTGATCAAGTACCCGTTGAATGGCAAGTTTGGGCGTGCAGGGATGGGCATCTTTGGTGCCAAGCGGATTCTGGTCACCTCAAAGATTCCCCTTTTCAAGAATCGTCATGAAGAGGGGAATCTCCAGAGCATTCGACTGGCAGGCGAGCGCTCGGCATCCGGCACATCACAATCCAGTCCGAAGTGTCCGCGTCAGACTGCACCAATAACCACCGCATCGACTTCCTTGAAGCCCTCAGCTTTCCCGGGCTTTAGATAGCAGCCGACCTGCCGAATCCCCGTCCAAACTTCAAATCAGACATCCCTCGGCGCGAGTGTGCTCGGTAGCCAGTGCACTCGCGCCGTGTTCGTGTCAGAAAGTACAGATGCTCACCATCGACGACCTGCAATCCGGCGCGCGGCTCCATTACCCCCGCCACGTCCTCTTCACAACTTCCATCGAGTTGTCGCTACATCTGGCGTGCGCAGAGACAATATTGAGTCCTGAATGAACCATCCATAGAATGTGTCGAAATTATGTGGTCAAACAAGGATATGAACTGATACACTTTGGTAGTGAGAACATGCTAGACACGTGATGGGTACGAAAGCACTTACGAGGATAGATGTACATGACCGCTAGCGACGGCAACGGACTGTCAGAACCGGGTGGAATCGAGCAGATTAAGACTTTAATCAGACTTAATCGAGGAAGCACAGACGAACAGATTTCAGCACTCCGCGAAGAGTTGCAATCTGCTCTGAAAGCAATAGAGCGCTTCGAATACAACACGGAGGGTGCAGTCCCCCCCCCCCCGACGCAGGGTTACGTCTCGCCTCCTTGGCCGAGAACGAAGTGTCTGAAGTTAGGGAACTGGTTGAGAATCTGAAGCGTGACATCGCGCGCCAGCAACTCTACAGTTTAGGACTTAACGCACAAAGTCTTTTGCACAATTGGGCGGTCACGACTATAGAGCTTTATGGATTAAGATTCAGAAAGTTTTTACATTCAATTCGATATCTCAAGCATAACCAAAGTAAAGGGGATTCTCACTCTATGTTCGTCAGGAGAATTCAAAGACATCAGGAATATCCCACATCAACTCATAGGCAATCCTTGAAAGGCTAAGTTTCTTACCCTGAGGGTGGTCGAACAAATAGGAAATAACGCTTTAATATGACATATACAAGTCATCAACGTACGCCTCCCTCTCCCCTCCCCAATCCACGCGCTCCGAAATGCGTTCCGCGCCAATTCCGCAACCTGCTCCCTCGACAGTCCCACAGCCTGCTGCGTATTTAGCAGCACCTCGCTCAGGTAGTAGCTCCGCATATACGCCGGGTCGTCCGTGTTCACCGTAACATTCAGCCCCAGTTCCAGCGCCCGCTTTAACTCCGCAGCACGTCGCGGCGCGGGATCGCTCGGATTCGAAGTCGTGCAGAATGTCAGGCACATATGCCGGCGCCGCACATCGTCGATCAGCCCTTCGTCGTCCAGCACATGGTAACCGTGGTCGATCCTGTCCACGCCAATCACATCGAGACACTGCCGTATATGCTCCACCGAGTTCTCCTGAAGATGGTCGCAGTGCATCGTGAGCTTGTAGCCCTCCGCCCGCGCCCGCTCAAACACTTCGCGGAACTTCACCGGCGGGTTGCCCTTCTCATCCGAGTCCAGCCCCACGCCCACGATCCAGTCTCGATACGCCAGCGACTGCTCCAGCGCCTCCATAGCCGACTCCGCGCTCATATCCCGCAGTATCCCCAGTATCAGCTGCGAGCGAATGCCAAGCTCATCCTGCGCCATCTCCTGCGCCCGCCGAATGCCGCTGATGACGGTATCGAACGCAATCCCCCTGCTCGTATGCGCCTGCGGATCGAAGTGCATCTCCGTATAGACCACATTCTGCGCGTGAACCCGCTGCAAGTAGGCGTATGTAAGCTCGAAGAAGTCCTGCTCCGTCCGCAGCACATCCATGCCCGAAAAGTAAAGCGCGAGAAACGAGGACAGGTCCTGATAAGCGTATGAAGCCGCAAGCTCATCTGCAGTCCGATAAGGCAGTTCAACGCCATTGCGCTCCGCCAGCCGCACCCTCAACTCCGGCTCCAGCGTCCCTTCTACATGCACATGCAGTTCAGCCTTCGGCATCCCCCGTATAAAAGCGTCCATGTCGGTTGCAGTCATGCCTATCGCTCCCTACTGCGCCGTCAGTCCTCCGTCCATCACCAGCGGCGTGCCCGTAACGAATGACGCCTCATCCGACGCCAAGAACAGCGCGCCGTAAGCAATCTCGCGAGGGTCTGCCACCCGCTTCATGAAGTTCGACGACCCCGCCTCAGCCAGAAACTCCTCCCGGTCCGCGCCCACGAACTGCCGGTGCCGCTCCGTCGCAGGCGTCAGCACCGATCCGGGACACACGCAGTTCACGCGGATGTTGTGCGGCGCAAGGTCCATCGCAAGGCAGCGCGTCAGCTGCATCACCGCCCCCTTCGACGCGTTGTACGGGATGAACCCCGGCTGCGCGATGAACCCGCTCACCGACGCCAGGTTCACGATGGAGCCGCCGCCCGCAGCCTTCATGTGCGGAAGAACATGCTTCACGCAATACGCCTGTCCAATCACATTCACGCCAAAGACCCGCGCCCAGTCCGCGTCAGTGATGTCCTCAATCTCCCCGAACACGAACACAGCGGCGTCATTGACCAGTATGTTCACCGACCCATAAGCGTCAACCGCCGCCTGCACCATCGCCTCCACATCCGCCTCCTTGGACACATCGGTCGCCACAAACTGCGCCTCGCCGCCCGCAGCTCTGACGCTCGCCAGCGTCTGCTCGCCGCCCGCAGCGTCGATGTCCGCGATAGTCAGCCGCGCCCCTTCCTCCGCGAACACCTCGCATATCGCGCGCCCAATCCCTGACGCGCCCCCCGTAACTATCGCCGTCTTGCCCTCAAGCCTCATAACACACTCCAACCATCGACTATCTGCCAGAATACTGATTACTGACATACCGACCTACTCCAGATGAAACACCTCTTCCAGCTCCACCATCATAGAATCGGGATGCGCTCCCCTCCGGTATTTCACCCTCCAATGTCTCAAAAAAGGGCGACATCATATCCTGCCATCGCCTGTTCGCATCCTCTTTGGACATACCTTCCAGCGCAGCCGCGAAGCTGTCCTCAGTCTCGAAGTAGCCGAACATCAGCCCATCCTCGCGCATGAATAGCGAGTAGTTATGCCAGCCGTTCCGGCTCAGCGCGTCCAGCATATCCGGCCACACAGCCCTGTGATGCGCCTTGTATTCCTCGATCATATCCTGCCTGACCTTCAGCAAAAACCCGACACGCTTCATCGCAGACTCCTTGTTCGACACGCCTCAGCGACATGGCCGTCGCGAATCCAGCATATTCCTGCCTTCATGCCAAGTCAATTTGTCTCATTCTGCCCATCTATATCAGTTCTAAGGCGTTAGACAGCCATAGGGCAACCTGTTACAATCCGCCCGAATTATACAGGCTGAATCTGCTGAGATTCATACCTTCCGCAAGCAAGCGGCAGAAACAATCTAAGGAGGAGTTTCCATGAAGGCTGTCGTGTATCAGGGGCCGTTCAGCGTATCCGTAGAGAATGTTCCCGACCCGGAATTACAGCACCCAAATGATGTAATCGTCAAGATAACATCTTCCTGCATCTGCGGCTCTGACCTGCATATGTACGAGGGCAGAACCGCCGCAGAACCCGGCATAATTTTTGGCCATGAGAACATGGGCATCGTCGAGGAAGTCGGCTCTGCGGTAAAGACGCTGAACGCCGGCGACAGGGTGGTAATGCCCTTCAATGTGGCGTGCGGCTTCTGCAAAGAACTGCCAGAGGGGTTTCACCGGCTTCTGCACCATCGTCAACCCCGGCTTCGCGGGTGGCGCGTATGGATATGTGGCAATGGGACCCTGGCGCGGCGGGCAGGCCGAGTACCTGCAAGTACCCCACGCCGACTTCAACTGCCTGCCCCTTCCTGCCGGCGACGTGTTCGAGTCCGACTTCGCGATGCTCGCAGACATATTCCCCACCGGCTATCACGGCGCGGAACTTGCTCAGGTCAGCCCAGGCGAGAGCGTCGCCGTCTTCGGCTGCGGCCCCGTCGGACTGATGGCAGCTTATAGCTGCGTCATTCGGGGCGCGGCGGCAGTCTACGCCATCGACCATGTGCAGGAGCGTCTGGACAAGGCAAGCGAGATTGGAGCAATAGCCATCAACTTCGACGACGGCGACCCGGTAGCGCAGATAAGAGAGATGCGCGGGGGCGACGGCGTGGACAAGACCATCGACGCAGTGGGCTATCAGGCAGCGGCGCAAGGCTCTTCAGCCGCCGGCGGCGAACAGGAGGAGGTGCCGAACGTCGTTCTGAACCAGATGATTGACGTTATCAATCCCACCGGAATCATGGGCATCCCCGGCCTGTATGTTCCGTCCGACCCCGGCGGAGTGGACGAGGGCGCAAAGCGTGGCTCGCTCTCCATCAACTTCGGCAGACTCTTCGAGAAGGGACTTCGTCTTGGCACGGGCCAGTGCAATGTGAAGCGCTACAACGCCTACCTGCGCGACCTCATCGCCGCTGGCAAGGCTACCCCCAGTTTCGTGGTCTCCCACGAGGTGTCGCTCGACGATGCCGTTGACGCCTACGACAAGTTCGACAAGCGCATCGACGGCTACACCAAGGTCATCCTGAACCCATAGCCTCGAACATCTTTGTCCCTTCCCCCTTGATGGGGGAAGGTTAGGATGGGGGTGAAGAAACTAGCCCCCCTGAACGGAAACGCTACCGGAGGTTCAACTATGCGTGTAGGCAGCGGCGAGAATACATACGGCTGGATAGACAATTGGGCGAAGATTCCCGAGTCTGAAAGTTCCCGAATGGGCTGGGCGCATCCCGGCATCGTGGTCACGGAGTCGGGGAATGTCATCACCTGCCATCCCGGCGATCCCAATGTCATGACATTCGACAGCGACGGCAACCTGCTCTCTACATGGCAGGGCGAATTTGCCGACGCCCATGGCATCACCATCGTCAACGAAGGCGGCACCGAGTACCTGTGGATAGCGGACAACGGCTCAAAGAGAAGCCACCGCCACGACTATGGCTACCCGCCCGGCGCGGACGACGCTTCTGGGCAGGTCTTCAAAACCACTCTGGACGGGCAGACCGTCATGACGCTGGACACACCTCCCCACTCCGCCTATGAGACCGCCCGCTACTCACCCACCACCGTTGCCGTGAACGAAGAGCGGTTCGGCGGCAACGGCGACATCTGGGTCGGTGACGGTTACGGCGCAAGCTATGTCCACAGGTTCACGAGCGACGGGGAATATGTGAGCAGCATAAACGGCGAGGAAGGCGCAGGCAGGTACAACTGCCCGCACGGTATCTACATAGACAGGCGCAAGTCCGAGCCTGAGCTATATGTGGCAGACCGCGCCAACGCCCGCGTGCAGGTGTACGACATGGAAGGCGGCTTCAAGCGCTCTTTCGGCGACGATTTCCTGACCACTCCCAGCGCCTTTGTAACATACGGCGACCTGTTGGTAATCGCCGAGCTTCGCGCCCGCCTGGCCATCACCGACATGGACGACAATCTGGTCGTCTATCTGGGTGACAACGAGCAGGTATGCGGTGTGGACGGCTGGCCGAACAACACCGGCGACGGCGGCCAAATCGTTCCCACAAGCCTCCTGGAGGCCGGCAAGTTCAACAGCCCGCACGGCCTGACCGCGGACGCAGAAGGCAACTTGTACGTTGCCGAGTGGCTCATCGGTGGCAGAGTGATTAAGCTCGCGAAATCCTAGAGACTGCTCCCAAGTGCCTTCCCCCCTTCGTGGGGGAAGGTTAGAGCCTGTCCTGAGCTTGCCGAAGGGATGAGAGAAGAAGCATCCTGCCGATGCTGTCAACTCCGCTCAAGCGGATGATGCTCCGCAATCCACTCCCACACGTGGCTCTCCGGCAGTTCCCAGCCGTCCCACGGCAGGCGCATCACCACGTCCTGCTTGAACCAGTGATGATGCCTCTCAGCGTATGCGTCGCTCCCCGTAGCGTCCGCCAGTATCGCAAGCGCAAGCTGCGCCGGCCCGCCTATCCCGTAGCCCCATTCGAGATTCACCGAATGCTCCCACAGGTCAAGGCGTGACGGCAGCGGTCGCACAACATCATCCTCCACCACAACGACCGATACTCCGGACGCCGCGCCCTGCCCCTTTCGCTCGCCCGCGTACACCTTCTTGCCGTCCAAGCCAGACTCCTTGACGCCTTCGAGACAACTCACGATGTAGACGATACTGTAGTCTCAAAGTCCAATCAAGACGACAGCATCATCGGCAATGTACGAGATTAGAAGAGCGCCTCAGCGCCAATGCTCCGGCAGTATCGCCTCCGCGAACCCGAATCCGCGCGCCAGCCACTCCTCCTGGTACACTCCGTCCCTGTAGCTCGAACTCTGCGATTCGTACACACTGACATCGCCCTGGATAGCCCCTGACACCGCCGACAGCCCCTCGGCATCCAGCGAACTGCCGGGCGCGCCCGCCATCAGCAGCGTCCTTGCGTTCACTCGCGGCGCGAACCCTCTCAGATCGAAATATCCAAGCGTGTCTTCCACAGCCTGTTTGCGCTCAGGATAAAGGTTCAGGTACTCGTTGATCTCTTCGAGCGGATAGTCCCCCGTACGCGCCGCCAACTTCAGCGTATCCACGAACAGCCCCGGCTGGCACACCACATGAGTCACGCCATCATGCAGCGCCGCCGTCATCAGCGCCATATCGTTCCCTATCGCCACCACGCGATCAGCGTCCACCTCATCGCGCGTCAGCAGATACTCCATCCCGCGCACGCTGTCTGCCGTAGTACCGCGAAATATGTAACTGCCGGAGTCATCAATGCCCTCCGTCAGATGACCCGGAAACCCGGCAGAATACGGACTGTCGGACAGCCTCTGCCCACGCCCTCCAAGCGCGAATACGACGAACCTGCTGCGAAGAGAATTCGCCGACCCTTGAGGTATCGGCTCAAGCACGCTCTGATACTTCGGCGGGAAGTAAATCGCAGGAAACGGCCCATCACCCTGCGGTATGCTCAGGTATCCGAAACAGCCTGTAAGGCCCTATGCTCGTCAGTCGCACGCTGTACATCGTGGCGAAATCCGCGCAACGAATCGGCATCAGCTCCACTTCCGGTTTCGCCGGGTAGCCCGCCAATTCCTCCAGCGCGCCATCCCAATACCGCTCAAAGTCCGTAGTCATCCTATCCATCCTGTCCGTTATTCCGCACCTTGCAGATGCTTAGCGAAGAACTCCGTTATCACCGCAGTATGCCTGTACCGCCCCGCCTCATGTCCGTGCCCGTCGTATGCGTACAACTGCTTGTCTTCGCTGCCGATGGCGTTGTGCAGCGCATACCCCGTCTCCGGTGGGCACACATTGTCCTGCAACCCAATGTTCATGATGATCGGGCACTTTATCCTGTCGGCAAAGCTGATTCCGTCGAAGTACGCCAGCGTTTGCTCCACATCGGCGCGGCTCTGCGGGTTCATCCGCAGGTAGTCGTTGATCTCCTGGTACGGGTAGCTGCTGGTCAGAGCGATCGCATCCATGTAGCCGCAAAGATACGGCGCCCCTGCTGACGCTACCTTCACCTCCGGACGCATCGCCGCAGCCGTTATCGTCAGACCACCGCCCTGGCTGCTCCCAGCAACGCCAATCCGCTCAGGGTCAACCTCATCGCGCGTCAGCAGGTAATCTATCGTGCGCCACGCATCCACATAGAAGCCTCTGTACGAATAGGTATTGCGGTCGATGATGTTGTGTGTAAGCAGGTTCGGATAGCCCGGATTGAACTGCCCGTTGCTCCGCAGCTTGCCCCTCGGCGCGGCAGTAACGGCCGCATACCCTCGGCGCGCCCAGTCTTTCGGTATCGCAGGGTCGCTCTGGTATCCTGGCATGAACACCACCGCGGGCAAGGGTCCCTCGCCTCTCACGCGGCACGCAGTACCACGCCGCAACCCGCACGCCGTCCAGGCTGTCATAGAAGACCTCGAAAGTCTCCAGTTCGTCAGAACTTCGCATTGGCAGCGGCACCGTCTCCGCATTCAAAGGAATCTGCGCCGCCTCATCCAGCACAGCCCCCCAGAACTCATCGAAGTCATCCGGCTTCTGCACACTACACTTGTAATCAGCTATCATCTTGCTTTTCCTGTCAATCCTGTTAGCCCCGTCACCCTTAAAGCCTGCCTCGAATCTGATCCATCAGTTTCCGCACCGTATCCTCATCGGGCACGACATCACCCGATTCCACATAAACATACAAGTCTTCGAGAGCATCTGCGTAGTTGCCCAGTCGGTAATTCACTACGCCGCGGTCACGGAACTCCACCGCATCCTGGGGCAGCAGCGCAATCACCCGATCAATGGTCGCCAGCACGCGCTCATAGCTGCGCCGCTGCAAATACACCACCTTCAGGTTTCGCAGCATACGCGCGATAAAGGCGCGGCTGCTCACGGGCGCCAGGTACTCCCTATCCCAGGCCAGCGCCCCCTGCGTTGACTGCTTCAGACGCTCCGCGCACTCCTCCTCCGACAGCAATATCCCGCCGTGAAAGGGATCCACGAAAATATCGGGGTCGTCCCTGTGCCTCACGACAAAATGCCCCGGCATACCGATTCCCAGCAGCGGCACCCCCAGCCGCTTGCCCACTTCGATATACAGCAACGACAGCGTAATTGGAATGCCCAGCCGCCGCTCTATCACATCATTGAGGAAGCTGTTGCGGGGATCGTAATAATTCGTGTGGTTGCCCGCGAACTTCAGCTCGTCGAACAGGTACTCGCTGAGCGTATTCAGTTGATACAGCGGGCTGTCGTCGTCCATGCGCGGCGCAACACCCTCCGCTAACTCGTCAACGCGGAACAACTCACGCTCAATGCTCAATTCCGGATATTCTGTAGCGGCAAGAAGCAGGGCTGCGCGCGCCAAGGTCAATCTCTTCCTCCGGCGCGCCAACCATCCTGTCGAACTGATTCCAGACTTCCCGGGATTCCACAATGCTCAAAGAATACGCCTCAACACAATAACTGGCAACCCGTCCCCCAAGCTAAGGGGAAGCGCACATTGTGATCGAAGGTTACTCCGATGTAACGCAAAAAAAGCCCCGAACCTAAAAACGGTTCGGGGCTTTTATCTATGGCAAGCTTCTGACCTTAGTCAGCAGCGGCAGCCATTACGCTCTCAAGCCTGTCCTTGACGATTGCCTTCAATTCCTTGACTCGGTTCAGATGAGGGGTCTCATTGCCCTCTTCAGCCTTGTCGTAGATCTTGTCGCCATCTACATAGACCTGCAATACACCCGATACTCCGGGCTTAACCGAGATCGAAACTTTATTACCGCCAGCATCCACAAACTCGTTGACCATCCAGGCCGCAACACTGTGATACTGTCAAGGTACGCAGTAGATGATCTCAATGTCCATCAGACCTTCGCCAGCCATAGCAAATCCTCCTGATATGATTTTTGTGCCTCTGTATAGTTATTTATTAAACACTATACTAAGCTCCGTATTTATAGGCAAATGTTATCACGGCAACTAACCTCTGTCAACACGACCATCCTGAAGACTTGTGAACACTATGTAAACTATTCCCCGCTCGACACCCGCAGCAACCCCGGTCGTTCATCCCGCGCGCGCCAAGTTAAAGCCCTTCGATCGTGTGGCTCATGTACCTCTTGTGGCCGCTAACACATCGGCAGGGTGAATAAATGCTTGTCGGCTTCTACCGCCCCCAGATACCTAGGTCCATACCCATGTCAACCACTGCCGACTGCCTGTTCAAGGTGTCCTCAAGCTTTTCGCGGTACTCGCGCCATGCGCCATCTTCGTCCTCAGAGCCTGACGCCGATTGCAGCTTGTCCTGAAGATCGTCCATCAGGTGGTCCTCCGCCCGACCTGTCGGCATATTGAAGAACTCCGTGTCGAAACGCGGCAGCTTACCTGCCTCAAAATATCCCTTGTCCGGCAATTCATACCCTTCAAGGTTATCAGTGCCCTTGCCTAGCACCTCGCCGGTCTCGATGTAGTGTTCCATCACAGGCTTCATGCCATACTTCTGTATCGGACAAGTCTTCATGCACACGCCGCACCCCGAGTATCGCGTCATCACGGGACGGCACCGCTTGGCGATGAGCTTCGCCTTCTCAACACCCCGATACCACAGCCGCTGCCCCTGGATAGCCCGTCCCGGACAGCGCATGAAGCACACCTGGCAAATCTCGCAGAACTTCGGGACACCGTAATCCACGGGCCTGTCGTATGTGACCCTAGCATCCGTGATAATGATCTGCAGCCGCGCCCTGGACCCAAAGTGCGGCGACAGCAGCTGCCCGTTAACGCCGAGCTGCCCCAGCCCCGCATCAACGAACATCGGTATCATCGGCCCGAACTGCCAGGTCGGTCCCGACACCTGCGCGCGGTACCCCAGCGAGTGGATGTGCTGCACGAGCTTCTTCGCCAACTCCGCCTGCTGCTTGTAAGTTGCCCCCTGTGCCACTTCCGCATCAAGGCTCGGCATCGTCTGCGTCGCCGAATGCTCCTGTTCAAGCGCAAGGCATATCGCATTCGGAAGCCCGCGCCTTACATCGTCCTGCCGCGCCTTATACACGTAGCGTCGGTCGAACCGAGTGAACCCCACCTCGCTGTACCCCAGCTCCCGCGCCACATCCCTGATGGACTGCGTAACATCATCGCCGCTCGGTTCTGCCGTCGGCTCGAGATCCCCGCTCGCGCGTACCCACTCAAGGGCGGGCTTCATGTCTTCCTGAAACTCTTCGTACAACTCCGCCGTCTCCGGCGAAAACTCGCGCCGTATCCCGTCCGCCCACTCCACAGACGCGCTCTGCTCCAGCGCAAAGCTCTCCAGCGGATACTCCCGCGAGTAAAAGGTAATCTCCTGATCCCGTCGCAGAGAATCCGGAGCCTTCTCCAGGTCCTTTGCCACAGGAATGCTCACAGGCTCATCACCGTGCTTGCGCCCCGGCCTTGTTACCTCATGCCCAAATCGCCGTCTTGCCATATTTTCCCCTCGCCTGAATATAGAAAACCGCCGCCTAAGTCACCAGCCCCCACAACCAAATCAGAGTCCAAATCACGAAAATACCAACTAACCAACTATGAATATAATCAACAGCCACAGACACCCGCCACCCGGTGTGCGCCGCCAGAATGCCCCTTTGTATTCCTCAGCGCTCTGCGGAAACTGGTGAGGGCCATGCATAGGCTTGTCACCATCCCAAAAGCATTCTCAACAAAGGAATCACAACCCACGCCAGCAGCAGCAACGCAACTACTGCGATTAGCAGCTGCCATCCACAACCGATCTTTCTCCGACGTCCGCCACCGCCACTACCCTGAAATCGCGACCTGAAATCAGTCGTGTCAATCGGAATCTCGCCGGGGCGCGGCATCTGCCGCAAGTCGTTGCTCCAATCGAAAACTGCCAGCAATCATATCGCATCCCCATCCGATTGTCAGTCCGAACAACCATAACTCCAAATGCCTTGAATGAATGTATCCCACAGCATACAATATGCCAGTGATAGAAGTCCGTGAAACCGAAGTGTATGCCAACTGGTTCAGTAGATTACGGGACACTCAAGCAAGGGCGCGAATTGATACGCGCATCAGGCGTCTAGCGTTGGGCAACCTCGGCGATGTCAGGGCTGTAGGACACGGCGTTTCCGGGTTACGTATCGACTACGGAACAGGGTATCGAGTGTACTTCGCACGGCGCGGACAGACACTTGTGATACTCCTCGCAGGTGGCGATAAGTCATCTCAGCGTCGGGACATCAGAATTGCAAGCGAACTTGCCAGAGGACTATAAAAGGAGTCGGAAATGGCAAAGACAATCACCGGACCTTGGGACCCTGCCGAACATCTAAACACACAGGAGGACATAGTCGCATACCTTGAAGCGGCGCTGGAAGACGGAGACAGTCAACTCATAGCCTCCGTGCTAGGCGACATAGCCCGCTCTAAAGGAATGACCGAGATTGCGCGTGAAACAGGACTCGGCAGAGAAAGCCTCTACAAGGCGCTGTCACCGAACGGTAATCCCGAATTCGCCACCGTGCTCAAGGTAATCAGGGCACTTGGAATCAGGTTGCGCGCCACCGACGCCCTTAGCTCTGCATCTCACTAACCCGAAGGCAACTCTCTCACCGACCGCAGCGGCGACACCACCATATACAGCGCCCCCAGCAGCCCGACGCACGCGGCAGCCACAATAGTCATCCGCAAGCCAATCTCACCCGCTACCCATCCGCCCACGAGCGACCCCGCAAACATTGCAGCAACCCCAAGCGAGCGCATCGTTGCGTTCATCCTGCCAAGCGAGCGGCCGGGCGTTATCGTCTGCCGCAAGCTGTTCTCATGCACCATGAACATCGTGAAGAACCCGTCGCCCAACTGCGCCAGCGACAGCATCAGTCCGGCGAATAGCTGCGGCGCGCGCCATCGGGATAAACAGTATTGTAAGCATGTACACCGCATAGCCGCCCACAAGCGCAGTCCCAAAGCCGAATCTGCGCGCAGCCCAACCCGCGTATATCGAACCGAATATCGAACTTATCCCACCAATAGCGAATATCGTTCCCAGCGCGCCGGGCCCAAACCCAAGCTCCCGCACTCCGAAGACCAGCACCACCGCACCCATCATTCCAGCCGTCCAGTTCTCGGCGACCGCAGCTACTGCGAGCGCGCGCAGCAGACGGTCGTTCCACACCACACCCTTCCCAAATCTCGCGCGCCACACTTCCACCCTGCTCGGAAGGCTCGGCATCAGGCTCTTGCTTGCGAATGAACGTCAGCGAAAGCGCGGACACCAGAAATGTCAGCCCTCCTATCGCTGCCACGGCGACAGAGTTGCTCAGTTGCGCTATCCAGCCGCCTATGCTGAACGCCGTAACTTCCGCGAACGACTCGCTGGCGGTCAGCTTGCTATTCGCATCAACCAATTCGCTCCGATTTACCAGCGTCGGCAGGTATGACCGATTAGCCACATCGAAAAAGGTAGTCAGCACGCCATTGAAGAACGCCACGACATATAGCTGCTCGATGCGCAACTGCCCAATCAGGAACGCGACGGGAATGGACGCCAGCAGCGCGAACCTGCCAAGCTCGGATACGATGAGGATGGGCCGCCGCCGAATGCGGTCCGCGATTACCCCCGCGAAGAAACCCGATGACTATGCTGGGCGCGACTCCTAGCGCGACAAGCACACCCATCTGAAACGGCGTCGCGCCCAGCACCAGAACGGCAACGAACTGCAATGCTCCCATCAGAGTGCCGAAGTTCGACACAGTGCGGCTTACCCAGAACTTGGCAAAGTCCGGATCCTGCCACAGCCCGCCAAACCACCCCTTCTTCTGTGTACCCTCTCCCTCGGGGAGAAGGGTTAGGGTGAGGGCCTGAATCATCCCCTCCATCCTGCCTATCTGAGTCACCCATGAGCGACTTCGCCCAATACGGCTTGCAGTATGATCGCCGCCACTCCCTTGTTCAGAGGCTCGTTGTTATTGCCACACTTCGGCGATTGTATGCAGCCCGGACACCCGCTCTCGCATGGGCACTCGTTGATGACCTGCAGGGTCGCGCTCCAAAGCTCCTCGATAATGTCGTAGCCGTGCTCCGTGATCCCCACGCCACCCGGTATGCCGTCGTGAATGAACACCTGCGGCCTTCCCGTATCCGGATGCAGCGGCGTGGATATGCCTCCGATGTCGTTGCGGTCGCACATAGCGAATAGCGGCAGCACACCTATCGCCGCGTGCTCCACCGCATGCAGCCCGCCCATCAGGTCGAGCCGCTCTCGCCGTATATAGTCCAGCGTGTCAGGCGGTACATCGAACCACAGCGATATGGTGTCGTAGCTCTGCGGCGGCAGGTCAACATACTCCTCGCCCAGCGACTCCTCGGTGATGTGCGCCACACGCTTAAAGCCCACAACTCTGGTCGTAACGCTCACCTCTCCCAGGTAGGCTTGCGTCCTGCCAGCCTGCCTCTGCCTGAACTGCTTTAGAATGCGCGTATCGGTATAGTCACGCGCCTGCGTGTAGTACGGCACATCGGTCTGCACCGCATAAGCAACACCCAACTCCATATTCAGGTCAGTGATGAGATACTGCTCCCCTTGGTGCAGATATATGCCGCCCGGATGCAGTTGCAGGAACGCCGACATCTCCTCCACGCTCTCCAATATCACGCCGCTGTCCCGCTCCACCAGTGAGTATGTCCGCGCAGACGCCGATCGGATATTCACCTCGCCCAGCCGGGTAGTCCATATCCGCGCTCAGATACCAGCGCCCCTGCCGCACATGCAGCAGCCCGTCCTCCACAAGCTCCTCCGCATACCACAGCAACTCAGGCCCGAAGTGCGCCGTATCGTCCATCAACAGCGGCGCCTCATAAGCAGCGCAGAGCAGGTGCGGCTTCAGGATGTACGGGTTGCCCGGCGACACCCGCGCGCTTTCGTGTGATCTGCCGAAAAACGCCTCCGGGTGCCGCATAAGATACTGGTCCAGCGGGTTATCGTGCGCAACCAGCACAGACAGCGAGCGATGGCCGCTGCGTCCGCTCCTGCCCGCCTGCTGCCACGCGCTCGCTATCGTGCCCGGATACCCTGTCAGCAGCGTCGCGTCCAGGTCTCCGATGTCTATCCCAAGCTCCATCGCGTTCGTGGTCGTAACGCCGAGCAGCCGACCTGCGCGAGGTCCCGCTCTATCGCCCGCCTGTCTTCCGGCAGGTAGCTCGCGCGATACGGCATCACGCGCTTGGCGACATCCGGATGCGACAGCTTCAGATTATCCCGCACATACACATACAGCAGTTCGGCGGCGCGCCTGCTGCGCACGAAATTCATCGTCCGCACATACCGCCTCAGCAGTTCCGCGAAGAGCTGCGCCGACTCCGTGTTCGTGCTGCGTCTACTGCCGGTAGCCAGGTCCAGCATAGGAGGATTCCAGAAGAGGAAGTCCTTGCCGCCGTAGGGCGAGCCATCATCATCCACGACCTCAAAAGGCAGTCCCGTCAACCGCTCCGCATGCTCGCCCGGATTGGCAATCGTCGCCGAGCAAAGTATGAACTGCGGCTTGCTGCCAAATCTCTCGCAGATGCGCCGCAGCCGACGGATGATGTTGGCGACATGCGAGCCGAACACGCCCCTATACACATGCGCCTCGTCTATCACCACATACCGCAAGCTCCTCAGCCGCTGATACCAGAGGCGATGATTCGGCAGAATGCCCACATGCAACATATCCGGGTTCGTGATGAGCAGCCGCGCGCTGCGCCGTATGCCCCCACGTTCGGGCGTCGGCGTATCGCCGTCAAAGATGTCGTAGCGTAGCCGCGCCGACCTCGGCACGAGTCGTCCCAACGCCCTACGCTGGTCCTGCGCAAGCGCCTTCGTGGGGAAAATGTACATCGCGCTCGCCGTGCGGTCCTGCAGCAGCGCCTCAAGCACCGGCAGGTTGTAGCACAGGCTCTTGCCGCTCGCAGTCCCCGTGGACACGATAACATTCTTACCGCTCCGCAGCGCATTGATAGCATCCGTCTGGTGCGTGTACAGCGCGTCTATCCCCGCGCCATCCAGCGCCTCCTCCAGCCTGCCGTCAAGCGGACGGTCAAGCGTGCCATACCGAGCTTCACGCGCAGGCACATCTTCGCCATGCACAATCTGCTCCATGTACCACGGCATCTTCTGCACCGCGTCGAGAAACGCCCCAACATCCATAGCAACTAGACGACTTTCATTGAAAACTGACTACTGATAACTGTTCACTAATACCCCGTCATCGTCTGTTGTTCCACATCAACGACGACGACATCCTCTCTGCTGTTCTCAATATACGCGATAACATTGTCTAAGATTTCATCGGCATGGCGCACACTGCTGCTTACACACGCAACTCCGAGCGTCGCCATCTGCCACGATTCGTTATCGCCCACTTCCGCCACCGACACACCGAACCTGTTTCGTATCCGCTGGCACATCGAGGTTATTACCCTGCGCTTTCCCTTCAGGCTCTGGTTCTCTGGAATTTGCAGCCTGACCTTGCACACACCGACATTCATTTCATCATCACCAGTCTTAGACATTCGCCCGAAATAGCGCCGCAAGCAGCATTATACCAGCCCCGCCTGATGTTATAATTCTGCGAAATCCTAGGCTCGCAGCAGACAAAGGACGGCATTGTGCGATGAGCGAGGTCAGCGTAGGCAAGGTACTGGTAGGGGCAGACGTAATTCAGGAAAAGGTCCGCGAAATCGGCGGAGAAATATCGCGCGACTACGCCGGAAAACGGCCCGTGCTTGTCGGCGTCCTCAACGGCGCGCTCATCTTCATGGCCGACCTCATGCGCGAAATAGACCTGCCGCTTGAAGCGTACATGATGGCCGCGTCCAGCTACGACGGCTACGAGAGTACCGGAATCGTGGAGATTATCAAGCCGCTCGACGCAAGCATCACCGGACGCGACGTGATCCTCGTAGAAGACATAGTGGACACCGGTAAAACGCTGGACTGCCTGCTGGAATCCATGCAATCCGAAGAGCCTGCCAGCCTGGAAGTATGCGCCCTTCTCAACAAGAAGTCACGCCGCATGGTGGAAGTGCCGATCAAGTATGTAGGGTTCGAGATTCCGGACGAGTTCGTCGTCGGCTACGGTCTGGACTACAACCAGCGCTACCGCAACCTGCCCTACGTGGCGTCCATGAACGCCGCCGCCGTCAACGGAGCGGGCTAACCTCGCACCATCGCCCCAGTCAGCACAGGCCGCAGCGATGTCCTGCCCATCAGATGCAGGTCCACGCCTCGCGCAGCCTCGCGCCCTTCTGCAAGCGCCCACACAACCAGCGACTGACCGCGCGACATATCGCCCGCAGCGAACACGCCGGGCACGCTCGTCATCTTGTCCTGGTCCGTCTGCACATTGCCGCGCCCATCCAGCGCGACGCCAAGCTGCTCCAGAAGCCCTTCCCTCTGCGGATGCACAAAGCCCATCGCCAGCAGTACGAGATCGGTGTCAATTCGAACTCGCTGCCCTCTAGGCGCTCCAGGCTAGGTCTGCCTGAGGCGTCCGGCGCACCCCAGTTCACGCGCACAGCATGCAATTTTTCCACGCTGCCGTTGCGCCCTGAGAAGTGCGTCGTCAGCACATCGTAGTCGCGCACTCCGCCCTCTTCCTGCGATGACGAAGTCCGCAGGATCATCGGCCACAGAGGCCACGGGTTGTTTTCGCTGCGATCGGTCGGCGGCTCGGACAGCAACTCACACTGATAGACAATCTCCGCGCCCTGGCGATGCGAAGTGCCCAGGCAGTCGGAGCCGGTATCGCCGCCGCCTAGTATGACAACGCGCTTGCCCTCGGCGCTGATGCGCTCTGCATCCGGGATATGCTCGCCTGCGTTGAGGCGGTTCTGCTGCGTCAGGAAATCCATTGCGAAGTGAACGCCGTCTAATTCGCGTCCGGGCACGGGCAAATCGCGCGGTATCGTACAGCCGCCCGTCAGAACCACCGCGTCGAACTCACCCATAAGCTCATCGCCGGTCAGGTCAACGCCCACATTGACGCCAGTCTTGAAGGTAACGCCTTCCGCCGTCATCTGATCGACACGCCGCTGCACCACCGTCTTCTCCAGCTTGAAGTCCGGTATGCCCATACGCAGCAAGCCACCGATATAGTCGTCGCGCTCGAACACGGTAACCCAGTGTCCGCAGCGATTGAGTTGCTGCGCCGCCGCAAGTCCTGCGGGGCCGGAGCCTACTATCGCAACCTTCTTGCCGGTACGCTGATTCGGCCCTACAGGCTTGATCCAGCCCCTTCCCAACCTCGGTCGGCAATCGCCTTCTCGATGTATTCGATTGTAACCGGGTCCTGGTTGATGTTCAGTACGCAGGCGGCCTCACAGGGGGCAGGACATATCCTGCCCGTGAACTCAGGGAAGTTGTTTGTGGCATGGAGTTCGGCGAGCGCCTCCTGCCATTTGCCGCGATAAACGAGGTCGTTGAAGTCCGGGATAAGGTTGCCCAGAGGGCAGCCCGTATGACAGAAGGGCACGGCGCAGTTCATGCAGCGTGCGCCCTGATCTCGCGCCTGCTTCTCGCTCCAGTTGTAATAGAACTCGCTATGGTGTTGGATGCGCTCTGCCACCGGCTGTTGTGGCGGACCCTGCCGTCCAAATTCCTTGAAACCTGTTGGTTTTCCCATTTATCGGTTCGCCTGCGTTCTGTTTCAGTGGAGTTTCGATCGGATGAAAATGTTACATTTAATCTGCGGCGACCGCAGCGGCACGCTCCATCAATATGCGCTTGTAGTCGTAAGGCATCACCTTAACGAACTTGGGCAGCATCTCATCCCAGTTGTCCAGCACCCGCCGCGCGTTTGCGCTGCCAGTTTGCTCATAGTGTTCTTCGATGAGGCTCCGGAGCCCTTTCTCGTCAGCAGGATCTTCAACACTCTCCAAGCCGACCAAATCAGGATTGCAGAGCGACTCGAAAACGCCATGTTCGTCCAGCACGAATGCCTCGCCGCCGCTCATGCCCGCCGCGAAATTGCGACCCGTCGGCCCCAGGACAACCACCTTGCCGCGCGTCATGTACTCGCAGCCATGGTCTCCCACACCCTCGACGACGGTCTCAGCCCCGCTGTTTCGCACAGCAAAACGCTCACCCGCAACACCGCGAATGAACGCCTTTCCTCCCGTCGCACCATATAATACTACATTGCCCACTATAATGTTTTCTTCGGGAGTGAAGGATGACTCAGCCGGCGGCGCGATAATCACCTTGCCGCCCGACAGCCCCTTGGCGAAGTAGTCGTTGGCATCGCCCTGCACCCGCATGGTTACACCCTTGGCCAAAAACGCCGAGAAACTCTGGCCCGCCGACCCGCTGAAATTAATCGTGATGGTGTCATCCGGCAGCGCCTCGATGCCATGCCTCTTCGCAATCTCGTAGCTGAGCGTAGTGCCCACCGTGCGATTTCTGTTGCTGATTGGCAGATCGAGAGTAACCGCTTTCTTAGATTCGATCGCGTCAACGCACAACTCGATAAGCTTGTTGTCGAGTGCCCTCTCAAGCCCGTGATCCTGTTCTTCTCGGCGGTATGTCGCCACCGACTCAGGTACTTGAGGCATGTGCAGCAGGTTCGAGAAGTCCAGCCCTTGCGCCTTCCAGTGCGCGACCGCTTCCGTGTATCCATCCTGTCCATGCGTCCGACCATCTCGTTGACCGTGCGGAAGCCCATCTCCGCCATAATCTGCCGCAGTTCTTCGGCAACGAGAAGAAGTAGTTGATGACATACTCCGGCTTGCCCATAAACATCTTCCGAAGTTCAGGGTCCTGCGTGGCGATACCCACCGAGCATGTATTGAGGTGGCACTTGCGCAGCATGATGCAGCCCAGGCTGATTAGCGGCGCGGTTGCCATTCCAAACTCTTCAGCGCCCAGCAGACATGCGATAGCCACATCCCTGCCAGTCTTGAGTTGCCCGTCCGTCTGCACCACGATGCGCCCGCGCAGGTCGTTGAGTACCAGTACCTGCTGCGTCTCCGCCACGCCAAGTTCCCACGGCAAACCCGCGTGCTTGATGGACGATTCCGGCGATGCTCCCGTGCCGCCGCTGTCGCCGCTTATCAGCACCACATCGCCATGTCCCTTCGACACACCGGCGGCGATAGTGCCAACTCCTGCCTCGGCGACAAGCTTCACATGCACCCGCGCGACCGGGTTCGAGTTCTTCAGGTCATAGATGAGCTGCCCCAGGTCCTCAATGGAGTAGATGTCGTGATGCGGCGGCGGCGATATAAGCTCCACTCCCGGCGTAGAATTACGCACCCAGCCGATATAGTCGTCGATCTTGTGCCCAGGAAGCTGCCCGCCCTCGCCGGGCTTCGAGCCTTGCGCCATCTTTTTATCTGCAAGTCGCTCGCGCTCGCAAGGTAGCTTATCGTCACGCCGAAGCGACCAGACGCCACCTGCTTCATCGCGCTGTTGCGCGAGTCCCCGTTATCGTCCGGCGTGTAGCGGTGATAGTCCTCGCCGCCCTCTCCCGTGTTGCTGCGCGCACCGATGCGGTTCATCGCAATCGCCATTGTCTCGTGCGCCTCGCGGCCGATAGAGCCTAGCGATATTGCGCCTGTGGCAAACCGCTTGACGATATCGCTCGCAGTCTCCACCTCGTCCAAAGGAATCGGCGTGTCCAGCTTCTTGAAGTCCAGCAATCCTCTGATGGTGCATAGCTTGCGGCTAAACGTATTCGCGAATTCCGCGAACTGCTGGTATGACTCGTAGCTGTTCGTCTTGGTCGCATGCTGCAACCGGCTGATGGTGTCGGGGTTCCACATGTGGTACTCCCCGTCCCGCCGCCACTGGTAGTAGCCGCCGGTCTCAAGGTCGAGACTGCCTGTCAGCGCAAGCTCTTGGAATGCGGCTTCGTGACGCTTGCGGCTCTCCAATTCGATCTCGTGTATTCCAATGCCGCCTATTCGCGATGGCGTCCAGGCGAAATACTGGTCGATGAACTCGGAGTTCAAGCCCACCGCCTCGAATATCTGCGCGCCCCGGTAGCTCTCGATAGTCGAAATCCCCATCTTGGACATTATCTTCAGAAATGCCCTTATCTGCCGCCTTCACATAGTTGTATTCTGCCGTCTCGTAGTCCACAACCCCCGCCAGATCACCATCTTCGCCGACCATATCCCTGATGGTCTCGAACGCAAGATACGGATTGACCGCTACCGCGCCATAGCCAATCAGCAATGCAAGGTGCGCCACTTCACGCGGCTCGCCCGATTCCACTATCAGCTCACTTTCGTGCGAACGCCCTGCCGTATCAGATGGTGATGCACACCCGCAACGGCAAGCAGGCTCGGTATCGGCGCGTTGTAAACATCAACACCTCGATCCGACAGGATGATTATCGTGTTGCCTTCCTGAACCGCCTCATACGCCTCTTCGCATATCCTCCGCACGGCGCGGGCAAGCGCCCCGTCATTCTCGTCGGTTGTGAACAGCGTGCGTATCGTCTTCGCCTTCAGGCCCGGCATGTCGATGCGGCGCATCTTCTCCAGCTCGGCATTCGTCAGCACAGGACGCTTTACGCGCAATGTGCGGCACTGCCCCGGCGTCTCCGAGAACAGGTTGCCCTCGCTCCCCACTCTGGATTCCAGCGAAGTAACCAACTCTTCCCTGATTGCGTCCAGAGGAGGGTTGCTAACCTGAGCGAACAACTGCTTGAAGTAGTTGAACAGCACCGGACTCTGCTCCGACAGCACGGCAAGCGGCGTGTCGTTGCCCATTGAACCTATCGGTTCAGTGCCGGTCTCTGCCATCGGCTCCATAATCATGCGCAGGTCTTCGAGCGTGTAGCCGAACGCGACCTGTCGCGCTAGCAGAATATCGCGGCTGAGAGTCGGCTGCTGAGGAACCTCCGGCAGGTCATCAAGTGACACACGGTTCTCACGTAGCCACTCGCCGTACGGTCGCTGTGCCGCAATTGCGCTCTTCAATTCGGCATCGTCTACCAGCCGGCCTTCATCCGTGTCCAACATGAACATGCGCCCAGGATGTATGCGGTCTTTGAGCAGCACCTTCTCAGGAGGCACATCCAGCACACCTGTCTCAGACGCCATCACCAGCAGGTCGTCAGTCGTTACGAGATAGCGACATGGACGCAGACCGTTCCTGTCCAGCACAGCGCATACTTTTCACGCCGTCCGTACCGACCATGAGCGCGGGTCCGTCCCACGGCTCCATCAGGCAGGAATGATATTCGTAGAAGTCCTTCTTCCCCTGATCCATCGGCAAATGGTCGCCCCAAGCCTCCGGTATCATCATCATCAGAGCGTGCGGCAGCGAGCGCCCCGTCGCAAGCAGCAACTCTAGCGCATTGTCGAAACTCGCCGTATCGCTCTGCACTCCCTTGGTGATGATGGGCAGCAGCTTCTTCACATCGTCGCCGAGCGCGTCAGACTCGAATATGCCCTCACGCGCGGTCATCCAGTTGATATTTCCGCGCAGGGTGTTTATCTCGCCGTTGTGTATCACCATGCGGTATGGGTGCGCCAACTTCCATGTGCCTAGCGTATTCGTGCTGAAGCGCGAATGCACCAGCGCAAATGCAGTAACGACTTTCTCATCAGCCAGATCGTGATAGAAATTCTGCAACTGCGTGGCGACAATCAGTCCCTTATAGACAATCTTGTTAGCCGACAGGCTGCAAATGTAAAAGTCCCCGCGCTCGTCCAGCCCTGACTCGGCAACGGCGTCCTCGATCTGCCTGCGAATTACTAAGAGCTTCAGATCGAAGTCGAAATCGCTCTCCATATCCGCGCTGCGTCCCACGAAGAACTGACGAATAGCAGGCATAACCGCGACCGCAAGCTCACCAATCTCGTCGGGTGATATCGGCACATCACGCCAGCCCAGCAGCGTCTGCCCTTCCTGCTCCACGAAGCGGCGCACGATACCTTCGACTTCACGCTGCTTCGCTTCGTCATGCGGCAGGAATGCCATTCCGACGGCATAGTGTCCCGGCTGCGGGCGCTCGAAGCCTAGCCGCTCCGTCTCCTTGCCGAAAAACTCGTGCGGCATCTGTATCAGCACACCCGCGCCATCGCCCGTCTCCGGATCCGCGCCCTTCGCGCCGCGATGCTCCAGGTTGCAAAGGATCTCAAGTCCCTGCCTCAGGATGTCATGAGACTTCACACCCTTTATATTGGCGACAAGCCCGACTCCGCATGCGTCATGCTCGAACCGCGGGTCGTATAATCCCTGCTTCGTCAAGTTGGGTATGTATCTCTCAGACATGTCAAGCCTCGCCGCTTATTAGCCTATTATCCCCATGGGGAAATGCCGGCCATAGGGAAATATCGGGGTCTGGGATCGCAAGCCTACAGCACCGGCAGATAATGCTCAGTCTCATAGTCTGCCACGCGACTGTGATAGTTCTCCCACTCAATCTTCTTGTTTTCGATGAAGCTCTTGAACACCGGCTCTCCCAGCGAATCATGAACAAGCTCACTTCGCTCCGAAATCTGAATCGCTTCCCACAAGTTTGCGGGCAGCGCCTCGATTCCAAGTTCGTCACGCTCCGCTTGGCTCATGTACAAGGCATTCGACTGCGCCGCAGGCGGGAACTCATACCGGTTCTCTATGCCCTTCAGTCCCGCCGCAAGCATCACGCTGAACGCCAGGTACGGGTTGCACGCAGGGTCCGGCGAGCGAAACTCAATGCGACGCGACTCCTCTCGGCCCGGCTTGAAGTCCGGTACGCGAATCAGGTCGGCGCGATTCACCGTTGACCACGTTACATAAGTCGGCGCCTCAAACTGCGGCACAAGGCGCTTGTACGAGTTCACCCACTGGTTCGTCACCGCGGTGATCTCCCGCGCATGCTTCAACAGCCCTGCAATGAAGAACTTCGCCGTATCGGATAGATGCTGTGGGTCATCATCGTCGTAGAAGGCATTTCGGTCGCCCTGATACAGCGACTGGTGCATGTGCATACCGCTGCCGTTGACGCCATTAATCGGCTTCGGCATGAAGGTGGCGTAGTAGCCGTTCTGCCTCGCGATCTCTTTCACAACCAGTCGGTAGGTCATCACCGTGTCCGCCATCGTGAGGGCGTCCGTATGCCGTAGGTCAATCTCATGCTGGCTCGGCGCAGCCTCCTGATGACTCGATTCCACGGGTATGCCCAGTTCTTCAAGCGTGAGCACAGTTTGGCGGCGCAGGTCGGTTGCCAGATCCGTCGCGTCCTGCCCGAAGTAACTTCCTCGACCGTCAGTGCTGGTGCCTTTCGAGTCCTTGAAGTAGAAATACTCTATCTCAGGACCCACATAATAGGTGTATCCGAGCTTGGAAGCGTTGGATAGGTTACGCCTTAATACGGCTCTTGGGTCGCTTTCATGCGACTCGTCGTCCGGAGTAAGAATGTCACAGAACATCCGCGCCACCGCGTTCTCGCGCGGACGCCACGGCAGCAAGTTGAACGTATTGGGGTCGGGAAGTGCGTACATGTCGCGCTCGTCCGAGCGCACAAAGCCCTCGATCGAAGAGCCGTCAAAGCCCATCCCGCGCGTCAGCGAATGCTCGAGCTCCTCAACGGTGATGGCAAACCCCTTCAGGTTGCCAAGAATATCCGCAAACCAGAGACGTATGAACTTAACATCATTCTCCCTGGCTTCGTGGAGAACAAATTCAGTCGCTTCGGGGTCTCTCGACAACATATCAACCTCAGTGAAATTAGCGTCCACCGCTTGGAGTGGAGGCTCCGGTTAGGAACGGCAAAGAGGCTTCTAATGCACGAACGAAACGCGGCAATTCGCAGCAGACGACTATCCCAAAAATATATCAGTTTGTGAAAATTGTGTCAAACAAAATCGGCGGGACTCGTCGCCTATCAGCGCAGTAGAAACAGCCAAATCCTGCTCGTCTTTGGCCCCTCTGATGACACTCTGATCTTGCGTAAAAACTCTAGCCGTTACATATATACAGTTTCTCGTCACGACAGAAAGCCCGCACCGGTCAGCCGAAGCTCGGATGCGGTGCAGGCTTCTCTATATTTGCGTTAGTCAGGTGCAGCTAAGATGCCGCCTCGCAGACCGTATTGAGGATAAGCTCCGTAACCTTATACGGGTCCATGTTGGCGTTCGGGCGCCTGTCCTCAATGTAGCCCTTGCCGTCACGCGCGACCTGCCAGGGTATCCGCACCGACGCGCCCCTGTCCGACACGCCGTATCGGAACTCCTGGTAAGAGCAGGTCTCGTGCAGTCCGGTGAGTCGCATTTCTATGCCGTCGCCATAGTTGACTATGTGCTCGTGGTGGTTAGCGGCAAGAGCCTCGGCGGCGGCAACGCAAGGATCGTATGCCTCGCGCATCTGTCGCGTCGAGAAGTTCGTGTGTGCGCCTGCGCCGTTCCAGTCGCCGCGCACCGGCTTGGGATCGAGTGTCGCCGCCACACCATGCTTCTCGCCAATGCGATACAGCAGCCAGCGGGCAATCCACAGATGGTCGGCAACGGCCGGCGAGCCGATCGGCCCAATCTGGAACTCCCACTGTGCGGGCATAACCTCAGCGTTGATGCCTGCTATCTGGAGTCCCGCCGCGAGGCAAGCGTCCAGATGATCCTCAACGACCGGGCGTCCGAATACCTCGTCAGAGCCGACGCCGCAGTAGTAGCCACCCTGCGGCGCAGGAAAGCCGTTGTCCGGCCAGCCAAGAGGCTGAGACCTGATGCCGTTGAAGAATGTGTACTCCTGCTCGATTCCGAACCACATGTCGAAGTCAGCGTACTGCTCCGCCGCTGCGGCGCAAGCGGCCCTGGTGTTCGTAGGATGTGGTGTCATGTCGGTCAGCAGCACTTCGCACATCACCAGCTTGTGGTCTCCCTCGCGTATCGGGTCCGGGCAGGTGAACACTGGCCTGAGAACGCAGTCTGAGTTCTCGCCGGGCGCCTGATTTGTGCTTGAGCCGTCGAACCCCCAGATCGGGGGCTCCTCACCCATTGGCACTACCTTCGCCTTCGAGCGGAGTTTGGCAGTTGGCTGAGTGCCGTCCACCCATATGTATTCCGCCTTGTAATTACTCATTATCCCCTCCTGATGGGACTAGATTCTTGTATCTTCTTTCGTTGTTCCCTTAATTCGTTCCTGTCTCGCGAAGAGAGAGTAGGATATTGATTTCCATCCAACTGTCATACCGACAATCTGAGTGGCTGGGTTTAGACAGCAAACAGCGAGACTTCTAAATTATAAAGTCTCGCTGGTGAATGTGCATGTTTCTGGCTATTGCCCAGTAACGGATGTGCTTACTTGGTGCGATTCCTGCGAACTGCGCTGGGGATGATAACCCATACTGCAAACAACGCCGCGAATGCCACACCAGCGAACAATGCTTCCATTTCCACACGCCTCCCAATCAGTAATCAATTCAGTAGTAATTGCGTTTAACTTGCAATCTATTCTGAAGCAGGCATGTTTCAACTATGTTGCACAGATGTTAAATAAATGTTACAAACTTCACGATCTATCCCATCCTTCCCTTTCATCCCTCACCGGTACACAGACCCTCGTGCCTGCGTGTGAAGCCTCGCCGGTCTGTGCTCCACCTGGTTTACGGATAACATTGCAGACTTGCAGGGGCGGTCTTTGATAACCGCCCCTGCAAGCTAAACTATGCTACCTATTCTTATGTACTGTCTCTCGCCCTAGTTCATCTCAGGGTACGCCACCGTGCCGTGCTCGTGCTCGTCCAAGCCTTCCTCCTCTTCCTGCTCATCCACGCGCAGACCCATCGTCAGGTCAAGAATCTTGAAGAGTATGTAGCCGCCGCCGAAGCCCCAGACGATTGCCGCAAGTATGCCAACGATCTGCGGCAGCAGCTGCGCAGCATTGCCGACAACCAGACCCGTTACATCGTTATGCCCGGAGGCGAAGATGCCAACCGCCAGCAGACCCCACGCGCCGCAGATGCCATGCACCGTTACTGCGCCAACAGGATCGTCCGCCTTCAGAATGTTCTTCACGAATCTCACACCAAATATCATTATGATGCCCGCAATCAATCCAATGACAACCGCCGCCCATGGATCCACATATGCACAGCCGGCAGTGATGCCAACAAGTCCGGCAAGCGCGCCGTTGGCCGCCATCTCGATGTCGGCTTTACCAGTCATCAGAAGCGTTACATAGATTGCCGCAGTCGCCCCGGCTGAGCCCGCGAGAAGCGTATTAACCGCATTCAGACCCAGCGTAGCAGAGTTAATGTTGAATCCGAACCAGCCGAAGAACAGGATGAATGTGCCGATGACCACATAAGGAACATTGTGTCCCCGAATTATGATGCCCTGCTCCCAGCCTTTGCGCGGTCCGACTACCATCGCGCCAGCCAAAGCCAGGAAGCCGCCAATCATGTGGACAACGCCGGAACCCGCGTAGTCTGCAAAGCCCATGCCGGCAAGCCAGCCGAAGTCGCTCCACGCCCAGTGCCCGTATATCGGGTAAACCAGCGCGCCAACGATGAAGCTGTACGCGAAGTAAGCATTAATCTTCGTCCGCTCTGCCATCGCTCCCGCGATAATCGTCGCCGCCGTGCCCGCGAACACCATCTGGAAGAACCAGCCAACGAGATCGCCATCGGCGAAGTTGGCTAGGAAGAAGCCCTCCAGCCCGATGATTCCGGCAGCAGCGCCACCGCCAAACATCAGCGCATAGCCGAATGCCCAGAAGCCAAGCGATGCTATGCAGAAGTCCAAGAACGACTTGGTCATATAGTTGACCGTGTTCTTCGCGCGAATCAGCCCCGCGCCAAGAAACGCGAAAGCCGGCCTGCATAAAGAATACCAGCGCCGCCGCGAATACTAGAATCGCATTGTCCAGAGTGCCCATCACTTCTTCGGCAGATTGCGCGTATGCGATCCCGCCTCCGCTAAGCACGATCCCAACAGCAAATAGTGCCATCATCAGGAGGCGCATCTTTAGAGTTGTAGGTTTTAGCATCGCCCCAAGCAAACTCATGTCCCTTCTCCCTCTCTACTATTTCATGTAATGACGTTGCTCCAAAATCTACGCCCTGATTGTTTCATTTATGTTAAGCACTTGTAACAGAAATGTTGCCTAAGTGTTAAATCTCTATTAAACGTTGTCCGAATTATCATTGACAGACATAACTCACCTAACTCAGAGGGGAAATCCTCCTCTACTCCCATCCTTTATATATCTATATAGATAGCAGCAGTCCCTCGTCAGATTGACATCACACCATCCCCTTATTAAAATGCAGCAATCACAGCATGGCCATCACAGCATGGAAGGGAGATATGCATCATGCAAAACATGAGAATGGAAATCTACGGCGACTATGCCTGACCGTGGGTCTACAATACAGCCGTGTGGCTGGATAAGGTAAAGAGGGCATACGGGGACGACCTCAGCATCACTTGGCGCAGCTTCTCGCTGGAGCAGAACGCCCACAATCTGAAAGAGGGCTCGGAGTCGGACTGGAAGGTCTGGGATCAGGACGACCCCTCGCAGGGCCGCTCTCTACTCGCGCAAATTGCTGCTGAGGCTGCCAAGCGTCAGGGCGACGACGCGCACGCAGCATTCCACCTCGCGCTGCTAGTCGCCCGGCACGGCGGCGAAGGGCGCCTAGCCCTCAACGACGAAGAGGCTATCCTCGAAGTTGCCGCAAACGTCGGTCTTGACGCCGGTCGAATGCGAGAGGACATGAAAGACCCCGAACTCCGCCGGATTATCGGCGAAGACCACGAGGCAGCCATTTCCGAGGGCATCTTCGGCACACCGACCTATATCTTCGATAACGGCAACATGGCGTACCTCAAAGCCTTCATCCCAGAAGACGAGGATGCAGTTGCAGCATTCGAGCACTACATCGCCATCGCCAGCCACCGCAACTACTTCGGCGAAATCAAGCGCCCGCAGCCGCCGTGGCCGAAAGGCGTCCTTGACTAAAGGTTGAAATCTTAGGGGCATTCGTCGCGGATGCCCCTAAACACCACAACTGAATATCCATTCAATTCGGTGCCAACCTCGAATCGCTAATCAACATTCATCATCGCATTAGCGCTCCGAGGTTGCCAAACCGAAATGCACCACGCATACGAAGGAGCATCTCGTTATGGCACAGCGTTTCGTACTTCGCATTCCCCCCCTCGGAATACCGACCATCCCAGTCGTTGAGAAAAACATCGACGGCGACCTCTACAATAGATCTCTGCTGACAATCGCCCTTACCCACAGTTCATTTCTCAATGAGAATCCGCTCTCGCCGTTTGAGTGCAATGAGCGACTGGAGTTTTTGGGCGACGCCGTGCTCGACTTGGCAGTCGCCGACGAAATCTATGAACGCTATCCCGAACAGCAGGAAGGAGTTCTCACGCTCATTCGCTCCGCGGTAGTCAACGGCAGTACACTGGCGAGTGCAGCCCGTAACCTCGGCATAGGCGAACATCTGATAATGGGTATCGGCGAAGAGAAGAGCGGCGGTAGAGAACGCAACTCAAACCTAGCGGCGGCATTCGAGGCGATAGTGGGCGCAATCTTCCTAGACAAAGGCTACGAAACCGCGAAGTCCTTTTGCATACGCACGCTGGAAACCGAGATAGACAATACTTATCAAAAAATAACCTCTGTCCCTGCCGAAACCCAGAGGTTCGAAAACGCCATAAGCTACCTCACCGGCGGCAAGCACCCTAAGTCGGCACTTCAAGAGCTTGTACAGGCCCAACATGGCGTTACGCCCGAGTACCACTGCAACGAGCCATCGGGAAAGAGCCACCAGCCCACCTTCACTGCAAAGGTGATGGCGAATGACAAACTGCTGGGCTCAGGCAGCGGCGCAAGCAAGAAAGCCGCAGAGACCGAAGCTGCCAAAGCAGCCCTCGCCACCTTGAACGGCTACGCCTGATGCAGACCCTCAATTTCAATCTGCAAGGCATCTCCATCGAAGGCACAATCATCGACGTCGAGACCGTCAGCCTCACTCCCAAGCCCAACTGGCATGTTCACACTCGGCACGCTCAGCGGCAGTGCGATTCGCATCATCCAAGCGGAAAACGAAGCCGACTGCGAAGCGCTGGCAGCCGAAGTGCAGCGCCTATGGCAGACACTCCCGCGTCCCATCTACGCCTACAACCGCAAGTTCGTGAGCGGATGGCTTAGCGACGCCCTCGGCGCCGAAGCCAACATAGACCATGACAGTATGGACGCATGGAAGGCTGTCGCGGATCAGCAGGCACTCAAATGGCCCCGCCTGCGCGAACTAATTCGACCGCCTGTCTTCTACTACCGTTGGGGCATAGCCGACTACGACCGCGAGCGCGACCTCGGCACTATGCGCCGGGCCATGCGCCGCGCAAAATCAGCCAACGAGGTCATTTCACGCGAAGCCCTCGGCGGCGCTCCCCACATCTGGTGGCAGCAGCACATCCAAATGCTCGACGACCCTGAAATCAGCCGTCAGATCACCAACCCGCCGACTGACCCCGCCGAACAATCGGTCAATCTCTACCGTCTCCCCAACGGCAACTGGACAACCAACCGACTTGCCGCCATCATCTGCCACAACATGATGGACCTCCAATCTCAGGCATCCCTGCTTCTATGGCAGTGGAACCTCACATCCCCCTGGCTATAAGCACTTCCTCTTCATCGCCGTTCATCAATATCGGTTGCTGTACTACCGCTGTTACATAAAAGCAACATTTATGTAACCGCGAAGAAACATACACACTGCATCATCTATTAAAGATTGGTTATGAACGCTTGGAGAAGAGGTCACACATTGTAGCCAAGGCTCCCTGCGCGGCGGCGTTACCCATGCTACTTGATGCACATGAAGAATCCACTGGACTCCTGCCGCAGACAGTTCTGCTTGCTGCTGAAGGCTGCGACGCCCTCGACGCGCCCCTGAGCGCACTCAGAAGTTCTGGCATCGTCGAGCTGGTCGAACTTGACGGCAGCAGCCTTGAAGCGCGCATCGAAGAGGTCACTCCCTCGCTCGTCATCGCGGGCCCCGGTGTCAACTCGGCCATCATCGGTGCGCTTGCCCGCAAAAAGTCCATCAGCCGCATTCTGCCACCGTTCCTGCGCTTCGTTACAAGCACCGAAACCGAAGAAGACGACCTCTATCTTGGGTTCGACGACTTTGTGGTAGCATCCTGCTCCGCCGCCGAGTTGGAGAAGCGAATCAGGCGGCTGACGAATGCATCAAGGTCGCGAGAGCCGTCCCACCTGACTGCCGGCCCCATCACAATTGACGCGGAAAAATACCGCGTTACAGTGGACGGCAAAGTCGATCAAGCTCGCTTGGATGGAGTTCCAGTTGCTGCGCTATCTCATGCAGAACATCGGTCGCGTCTTTACCAGGGAAGACCTTCTCATGAGAGTATGGGGGCACAAGCACTACGGCCACACCCGCACCGTGGATGTACACATACGCCGCCTCCGCCACAAGCTCGGCGCGCGCGGCAGCAACTGCATCCACACCGTCAACAACGTCGGCTACGGCTTCATCGAACCCACCGGCAGCCAGCCATAGCTAGTAAGTCGCTCTCCCCTAATCAAGCCCCGGCGCCGGAAATCTCGCGCACAACCCCATCGCCTCATCCCGCGCCTCTCGCTTCACAGCATCGCTCTGCGGGGAGGCAAGCACCTTGAGAATCAGCCTGCCCACATGTCGCGCCTCCTCCACTCCCATGCCTCGGCTCGTGATCGATGGTGTGCCCAGCCGCAATGCCGCTCGCCGTGCGTGGCGGCTTCTGGTCGAACGGGATGGCGTTCCTGTTCACCACGATATTCGCCTCACCCAGCGCCTCCTCAGCCTGTCGCCCCGTGATGTCCATAGGCGTCAGGTCAACCAGCACGATATGATTGTCCGTCCCACCCGACACCAGCCGCAGCCCGCCCACTTGCAGCTCGTCCGCAAGCGCCGCCGCATTCGCGCGTATCGCCTTCTGGTACTCCACGAACTCCGGCTTCATCGCCTCCCCGAACGCCACCGCCTTCGCCGCGATGACATGCTCCAGCGGCCCTCCCTGCATATTCGGAAACACCGCGCTGTTGATCGCGCGCCGGTGCTCCTCATCGCACAGGATCATGCCGCCCCTCGGCCCGCGCAGAGTCTTATGCGTCGTGGTCGTAACAATCTCCGCATGCGGATCGGGGAAGGGATGCTCATCCGCCGCCACCAGCCCCGCAATGTGCGCCATATCAACCATCAGCTTCGCGCCCACCTCGTCCGCAATACTGCGAAAGCGTGGAAAGTCTATGATCCGCGTATATGCGCTCGCCCCAGTAACGATGAGTTTCGGACGGTGTTCCTTCGCCAGCCGTTCCACCTCATCGTAGTCGATCGTCTCCACCTCGCGGTCGACGCCGTATGGCACGATGTCGTACAGCTTAGCCGAGAAGTTCACCGATGCCCCATGCGTCAGGTGCCCGCCCTGATCCAGGCTCATCCCCATAATAGTGTCGCCCGGCCGAAGAGTGGCGAAGTACGCCGCCATATTCGCCTGCGCCCCGCTGTGAGGCTGCACATTCGCATGTTCCGCCCCGAACAGCTCCTTCGCGCGGCTGATCGCCAGGCTTTCCGCCACATCCACGAACTCGCACCCGCCATAGTAGCGCCGTCCCGGGTAGCCCTCCGCGTACTTATTCGTGAACACCGAGCCCTGCGCTTCCAGCACCGCCCGGCTCGCAAAGTTCTCCGATGCAATCAGATTTATATTTTCACGCTGCCGCTTGATCTCGTTCTGAATCGCCCGCCCAATCTCAGGGTCCTGTTCCATCAGTGAACTCATGCCCTTACTCCTTCAGTCACACAGTCAAGCATCAATCCAAGCAAACTTCGTAATCGGGGGAATTCCGCCATCCGCTCTTCCCACTACAACAAATCCCGCAGATTCCAGATAGTCGGCAATATCCAGAGGCGGAACTGCGTCCGACCTGCTCCCATAAGCGCCGATAATCAGCCGTCCTTGCGGTGCAACAACCTATCTTACTAGCCTGCCAACGCCTTCGGAGAGATAGTCGAGGGGAAGGCAGTCATACAGCATATAAACATAACGATATTTCCTCGGCGACTGCCAGTCCCACACATTGCCCACATGAAAATTGTCCGCGTACTCTGGCAGGCGTCTTTTGGCAAGCTGAATCAGTTTGCTTCCTTGATCAAGCCCATGCGGAATCAGATTCAATCCGCGCTCGTCTCCCCAATTCAACAGGCACTCCAACAGGTAGCCATTCGCGCACCCGATATCCAGCAAGTCCTCGTTCGTCTCAATAGCGTTCAGAATAGGTCCCCGCTCAGCCCGCCAGCGATCCGCTCCCCCTCTGAATCCGGACTGCCGAATAGGGTCATCCTCTTTCAGGTAAGCCGCTTCCAGCGCCCAAAGGTCTTGCAGAAATATTAGCGGCAATGTCCTGGTCTCGAATCTGTTCATGCCATTAATTCTGAAACGTGCTCATCCTCATACTTCTCTATCAACACGCCGATGACATCCATCAAAGAGGCTAAAGGATGATCCTCGTCCTCCCCCACTACATCAATTAAGCCGTCTAGCACACTCACAAGTTGCTGGTATTCACTATCGCCATCCATTCTATCCCGTCCATCCTGTCAGCCCGGCCCCTACACCCTCTCAGGCTCTATCATCCCATAGTCCCCGTCCGTCCGCCTGTACACCACGCTGTGCCTGTCATTCTCCGCGTTGTGGAATAGAAAGAAGTCATGGTCCAGCAGTTCCATTTCCATGATAGCATCCTCGACCATCATCGGCTCCATCGAGAAGCTCTTCACGCGCACCACCTTCCCCAGTTCCTCAATCGACTCATCTTGCTCCTCATCGTCAACGGCAACGATCTCCTCAATCAATGCGCCCACATCCTCCCGAATCGCCTGGTTTCTGGCAGACCTGCGCGCCTGCGAAGTCCTGTACGCCCTGCCCTTATATCGCCGTATCTGCTTGTCCATAACATCCGCAACCGCATCCACCGCCGCGAACAGCGTCAACCCACTCTCCTGCCCTCGCAGCGTCGCGCCGCTCGTGCTTATCGTCATCTGAGCCACAAACCGGTCCGTCTCCGACCTCGCAGCCGTGCGCGAAAGCTCCAGCTTCGCGTCCACACGCTCCCGCAGATGCCGCTCCAGCCGTGCAATCTTCTTCTGAATGTAATCCTCTGATCGGTCACTCAGCCTCATGTTCCTGACGAGTATCTGCATCTCCATAGCGCCCCTCCTTTCGCATCATCTTTTGCAGTGTCCCTATGATGAGCCGCACTTCGGCTGCTCCTCAATTGATGAACCTCCATTGTATTGGCTGTGAACTACGCTGTTCAAGGGTGATGCGGCAATCATCAGTCCATCATGGACATCCCCCTAACTATATTTTAGTCATTCAGTGTGAATTGTGTTAAAATCAGGCAGTTGAAAGTCTGGCACGCAAGCCATTTCCCAACCGTCCCAAATCAAGCGGAGCGAGATGATAACTGGAGTTCTCGAAAGGTACAGGGAGTACCTCCCCGTTACCGACAAGACGCCCATTTTCACCCTGGGAGAGGGCGACACGCCGCTCGTCAAGTCCGAAAGCATAGCGGGACGAAGTCGGCTGCGGCGAACTCTACTTCAAGCTCGAAAGCTGCAACCCCACTGGCTCCTTCAAGGACAGGGGTATGGTCGTTGCGGTGGCGAAGGCGCTCGAAGAGGGCGGCGACACCATCGTCTGCGCCTCGACCGGCAACACCTCCGCATCAGCGGCGGCTTACGGCGCGCGCTGCGGTCTATCGACTGTCATCGTCGTCCCCAGCAAATACGTCGCGCGCGGCAAGCTTGCACAGGCGATTACATACGGCGCGCGAATCATGCTCATCGACGGTGGCTTCGACGACGCTCTGCGCATCGTGCGCGAACTCGCCGCGAAGCACCCTGTCGTGCTCGTTAATTCGGTCAACCCCTACAGGCTGGAAGGACAGAAAACCGCAGCGTTCGAAATCATTGAGGACCTCGGCGTCGCGCCCGACCACCTTTTCATCCCCGTAGGCAACGCTGGCAATATCACCGCATATTGGATGGGCTTCCAGGAAGCGCACCGAATGGAATGGATAGGCGCACCCCCAAAGATGATGGGTTTTGAAGCCGAAGGCGCAGCCGCCATCGTAAAGGGACATCCCATCGAGACCCCCGACACCGTCGCCTCTGCCATTCGCGTTGGCAACCCCGCAAGCTGGAAGAAAGCGGTTAAGGCGCGCGATGAGTCCGGTGGCACTATCGACTCCGTAACCGACGACGAAATTCTGGAAGCATACACGATGATGGCGCGAGAGGAAGGCATCTTCTGCGAACCGGCATCGGCAGCCTCTGTTGCAGGCTTGTTGAAGCTGGCTCGCGGTGGCATGCGCCTGAACCAGAGCAAGGTCGTCTGCGTCATCACCGGCAGCGGACTCAAAGACCCCGACACTGCCGTAACCATCGAACCCGCATTTATGGACGAATACCCCACCGACACCGGCGCTATCGAAGCCGCCATGGGACTCGCATGACCGCTAAAAAGTCCCTTCCCCCTCGATGCGGGAAGGTAAGGATGGGGGTGATGACCACCTGTCCATCCTTAACAGCCTCCCTCAATCAAACAGACTGACCCAACTATATGGACTACGAAAAAATACAAGACGCCATAAGATCGGTGCTGGTAGCAATAGGAGAAGACCCGCACCGTGAAGGTTTGGCGGACACTCCCCGCCGCATTGCCGAAATGTACGGCGAACTCTTCTCCGGCATCGGCAAAGACCCCGCAAGCGTACTCACAACCGGCTTCGACGAGGGCTACGACGAAACCGTAATCCTGCGCGATGTCCCTTTCCACTCCATCTGCGAGCACCATTTTCTGCCGTTCTTCGGCACCGCACACATAGCCTACATGCCCACTGGGCGAGTCGCCGGGCGCATCCAAGTTGGCGCGCGCCCTTGACATCCTCGCGAGCAGGCCGCAGATTCAGGAGCGCCTCACAAGCCAGCTCGCCGACACGCTCTACGACACGCTGCAGCCGACCGGCGCCGCGGTCATCATGAGCGCAGAGCACATGTGCATGTCCATACGTGGCGCGCGCAAGCCGGGCAGCAAAATAGTCACCACCGCAGCCCGAGGAAGCCTAAAAGACCAGCCACCGCGCGCCAGGACCTCTTGGCGCTGCTCAGGGAGACCCAATGACGATTAGCATACGAAAAGAAGACTTTGACAGCATCGGCGATGAATGGGAATGTATCCTCCCGCGCACCGGCGCAAACACCATCTTCATAACACCTTGGTGGCAACAGCTCTGGTGGCGGCGCTACGGCAATTCCGATGCCAGCCTCGAGATACTCTCGGTGCGGAAAGGCGACTCACTGCTGGGCATCGCCCCTCTTATGACGCGCGGTGATACTCTCTCCTTCCTCGGCGACACCGACCTCTTCGACTACCACGACTTTCTTGTGCGCGAAGGCTGTGAGGACGACTTCTATGCCACCCTCTGGCAGCACATAGAGACGATGGACTGGAAGAGATATGGAACTGAAGTCCCTCCGCGAGAGTTCCGAAACCCTTCCGACGCTTCCCCGCTCTGGCTCAGGATAACGGATGGACCGCCGACGTCGCAGAGGAGGATGTATCCCCTTACACGAGCTTGCAGCCCTCTTGGGACGAGTATGTATCCGGCCTCCGCAAGAAGGACCGCCACGAACTCCGCCGCAAGTTGCGCCGTCTCACCAACGGCAACCAGGCCGAGCAATACGCTTTCGACGACCCCGATGAAATAGCCGACGCAATGCCCGAGTTCTTCCGGCTTATGCGCGCCAGCAAACCGGACAAGGACGACTTCCTGACCCCGGACCGCGAGCAGTTCTTCAGAGACCTCGCGCAGGAACTCGCGCCTCGCGGCCAGTACAAGCTCTTCTTCCTCGAACTCAACGATGTCCGAGTAGCATCCTGCATCTGCTTTGACTACAACGGCAGCTACATGCTCTACAACAGCGGCTACGACCCCGAATACTCAGCCCTTAGCGTAGGACTGCTCAACAAGGCGCTCTGCATTCAGGACGCCATTGAGACCGGCAAGAAGTCCTTCGACTTCCTGCGGGGGTCGGAACGCTACAAGTACAACCTCGGCGGCACAAACCAGACCATCCACGAACTCGTCATCAAGCGTTCATAGTACAGTTCACTGATGTCAACATCCGCCAGCTCCACCAAGCGCACGAAGCTCAGGTTAGCTTTGATATGCTTCCATAGTTGTCCTGTGGGGCGGCTCGGCGAGAAGAACACCGGCGGCATGAACGTATATGTTCGCCAGCTCGCCCGCGAACTCGCCGCGCAAGGCAATCAAGTCGATGTCTTCACTCGCACCCACGAACTCGACGAGCCGCAGATAGTCCCCATCGCAGACGGCGCCCGTGTCATCCATCTCGACGCGGGTCCCCCGGATGCGCCAAAGGAAGACCTGGACTCGTACACATCCACTTTCGTCGAGCCGTCTGCCGCTTTCAGCAAAGCGAGGGCATCGAATACGCGCTCATTCACAGCCACTACTGGCTTTCGGGAGTCGTCGCCATCGAACTGAGCCGCCGATGGAACGCACCCCACATCGCCACATTCCACACGCTGGCCCGCACCAAGCAGCGCGCGCGCGCAGGCGAGCGCGAATCCGAGCGCCGCGCACACGCCGAACACCAGATTATCGACACTGCCGACTCCATCGTTGTATCCACTCATATCGAAAAGGACGACATCGCCAGACTCTATGGCGCAAATGGCACTCCACTTGAAGTAATACCGCCAGGCGTTGACACAGCCCTGTTCCAACCCATGAACACTGCCGATGCGCGTCGCGAGCTGGACTTGCCCGACAAGCGCACCATCCTTTACGTCGGGCGCATCGAGCCTCTTAAGGGCTTGGACATTCTGCTGAAGGCAGTCGCGCTACTCAACGATACCGCCAACACTCACCTGCTGATCGTGGGAGGCAGTCTCGAAAAAGACGCCGAATTAGAGCGTCTAAACACTCTTGCGGTTAATCTCGGCATAAGTGATATAGTTACATTCATCGGCTCGGTAAAGCAGGAGCAGTTGCCGGCATACTACAGCGCATCTGACGTATTTGTGCTACCTTCTTGGTACGAGAGCTTCGGTTTGGTCGCTCTGGAAGCCATGTCATGCGGCACCCCTGTTGTGGTCTCAAGAGTCGGCGGACTGAAAACATTCGTTGAAAACGGCAAAACAGGCTACTTGGTTCCATGGCGATGCCCCGAGCCGTTCGCGCAAAGTCTGGAAACTCTGCTGGAAAATCCCTCGCTTAGACGAGCAATGGGCAGCGCGGCCAGGCGCAAGGCTATGGCGATGAGTTGGACCGCTATGGCGACCAAAATGCTCGCCTGTTACCATAAGAATATGGGTTAGGTTTTTGACAGGCGTTGCGGGAGTAAGAGCATGAACGGCTCAACTACAGACATTCCGCCAGAGAACGATCTTGACCCCGAGGGAAAGTCGCCAAAACTTCGCTCCACATCAGATTGGAACGCCACTTCTGGGGGCGAGTCCTCTCGGGATTTCTTGTCCTGCTTCCCCTCATCATCACCGCCTGGATACTCGTCTTCGCTTTTCACCAGCTTGACGGCCTCTTTGGTGGGCTGTCCGATGCGCTCATCAGGACAACACCGATTGACGAAGGCTTCCCCAAAGTTGCCGCATTTGTCGCAGGCATCCTAAGCGTCGTCTTCGGCGTGGCGCTGCTCTACTTCTTCGGCACGCTGATGACCCTTCGCATTGGACGAATGGCAGTGGATGTGAAAGTCGCGGTTCTCTCCCACATCCCTCTGGTCAAGAACATCTACGGCGTTGCGAAGCAAGCGACCGACAGCCTCACGACACCGTCAGGACAGGAAGTCAATCGCGTCGTTCTGATCGAATGGCCCCGTCCCGGCCTGTTCGCTCTCGGCTTCACCACCGGACACTCACACCCAAGCAGACCCGGACGATGCCGTTCTGGTCGTTGTGTACATCCCCACCGTGCCGAATCCCACATCCGGCAACCTCGCATTCGTCCGTGAGAAGAGGTCTATGCAACCGACCTGACAATGGAAGAGGCTATGAAGATAGTCTTCTCCGGCGGCGTGATCTTACCGGAAAACATGAAGATGCACGCGACTACTAAGTTCCGACGACTGGAATCGCCGAACTAGCGATACCTCTTCTCGTACCACACGCTCCCGCTCACCTTGCGGAAGCCGAGATTCAGGTAGAGTTCCCTCGCCGGCGCGTTCTCCGAGTCAACCTCAAGCTCCACAGCAGCCGCGCCGCGTTCTACCAGATATGCGATGCCGGCCGTCACCACCGCCCTGCCGATACCCCGACCCCTGTAATCCGGGTGAACCCCTGTCATGGCAATAATGCCGCTCGAAGCCGCCCCATCTTCTATGAACATCGTCCAGTTGTACGCAGCAGGCTTCCCATGCTCGGTGCCATCATCGGTGATAAATATGATGCCTTCCGGCCCACCCCTGTTATGCTCCACACGCACCCGTATCTGCTCCACCGTGTTCGGGCTGAAACCCCAGTTCTCCCCGAATGAGATATTCTGCAACTCGGTCAGAACTTGCTCGTCCTGTCCCGCCACAAGTGACCGCACCGCAAACCCCTCTGGCAAGTTCACATCAGGCACTTCATCGCTCTCCCACCGCATCTGCCAAAGGCTCTTGACCGTCTCCATGCCATGCAATGAAAGCATGTGATTAACGTCGGCATGGGCTACGCTCGCCTCCATATGCAACGCCTCCACACCCAAACCCTCAACGTACTGCATCACCTCACGGAGCAGCGCCCTTCCGATGCCCTTCCCCCGATGTTCGGCCAGCACCCCACCACTTGCCACCGCCCTCGAAATCGGCTGCTCATATGCCACCAGCGTGTAGCCAACCGCCTTGCCCGCATCATCCTCCGCAATGAAACAATGCCGCTCAGGATCGCTACCCCGGCACCGACAGCATTGCCAGCATCCCATCGGTATCCTGCGCCTTAACCGTGCCGCTCACGCCGCCAATTTCGTTGAACATGCAGGTGATGGCATCTAAATCCGACCACTCAAACTTTCTAATCTTCAATGCCGCTTGAACCTTCTTGTTGATGAGGAAATAGGCGTATAGCGCCGCTGCCTCGCATAGGCAAGAGCCCCATCCATAGCGACTCGCCCGCCCGCAGCGCCTCGATTGTATCAGAGCAATTGCCCACTGTCATTTCAGCCTCGCTCGCACAGACCCCTACCACTCACATGGTGGGAAGGCTAAGATCTGACCTGCACTCGCCGAAAGGATGAGTGTGAAATCGCCATTCAATCACCCGATTAAAAGCGCTGATTATGGAAGCACATTACTTGCCCTCAGCCGAACAAACAACTTATCATTACAAGAGCAACCAAACAGACTGAGAGAGGCAATTAGCTCCATGTTCGACAGACCAGAAAGAGCAATGCTCGTCATCCCCCATCCCGACGATGCCGAAGGCGGCGTTGGCGGCACCGTCGCCAAGTGGGTCGCAGAAGGCACTGAAGTCGTCTTCGTCCTCTGCACCAACGGCGACAAGGGCACGAGCGATCCCGAAATGACCACCGAAAAGCTCGGTGCCATCCGAGAGAAGGAGCAGGCAGCGGCAGCGGAATGCCTGGGCGTCAAGGAGGTCATCTACCTGAGGTATGGTGACGGCGAACTTGACGACACCGCTAAGTTCCGTGGCGAGCTTGTCAGAGCCATCCGTAAGCACAGGCCCGACGTCGTCTTCTGCACAGACCCCTTCCGCCAGACCTTCTACCTCCACCGAGACCACCGGATATCCGGGCAGGTCACGCTCGACGCCGTCTTCCCCTACGCTCGCGACTTCCTGCACTACAACGAGCATATTCAGGAAGGCTTGGAGACACACAAGGTTGGCGACATTCTCATGTGGGGCACCGAGCACCCCGACACCTTCATAGACATCACCGACACCATTGACAACAAGATAAACGCACTGAAGAAGCACGCAAGTCAGGTCGCGGGCTCCGGCAGAGACGTTGATCGCTTCGTCAAGGTCAACGCCCAGAATCAGGGCCAGATGGCAAACATGCCCTACGCCGAGGGCTTCAAGCGCATCCGGTTCCGCACCTAGAAAACCTTGTACGACCTCCACGCCCACATCCTGCCCGGCGTTGACGACGGTCCATCAACGATCGAAGACTCCATCGCAATCGCCCGCATCGCCACAGCCGGCGGCACGCGGGTGATGCTTGCCACGCCTCATCGCAAAGACGTGACCGAACTCTCTTCAGTTCAGCACATCCGCGACCTGACCGCCGAACTCCAGCGCCGCATCCACGATGAAAACATCCTCTTGACGCTCACGCTCGGCATGGAAAATCACATCGACGACGCGCTCCCCGAAGACGCCGCCGCAGGCAAAGCCCTCACCATGAACGGCTCACGATACATACTCGTCGAAATGCCCTTCTTCGGCAGCATAGCCGAGCACGACTTCGTAGAAGGCGCGCTGCTCGGCATACAAGCGCAAGGACTAACGCCCGTCTTCGCCCACCCGGAGCGCATCGAAGCATTTCAGCAGCAGCCCGAATTGCTTGAACGCTACATCAATATGGGCATGCTCAGCCAGCTCACGCGCGGCAGCCTGCTCGGACACTGGGGCGAAGAAATACGGCAATTCTCGCTCGATTTGCTGCGGCAGGGCATGGCGCACATCATTTCTTCCGACACCCACTCACCGCACCCACCGCGCACGCGCCGAACTCGGCGAAGCCCTGAAAATCGCAACAGAAATCGTAGGCTGCCAGAAAGCAAAGGCAATGGTCAACGACACGCCCCGCGCCATCCTCGAAGACACGAGGCTTATAGTCCCTTCCCCCTTAACGAGGGAAGGTTAGGATGGGGGTGAGAATACATCCCCTTCATCTTGTAAATCCTGTTAGCCCTGTTCCTCGTCAAGCCACCCGATTATCTTCGTAGGCGTAATCGTCAGCAGGCAGAACTCCATCTCTTGCAGCGCCTGTTGGATGTATATCTCGCCCTCGACCTCACCCTTGTAGTGGATCGCCATCGCCCGCACCTCGTCCGGAATCCCTTCGCTGGAGATTACCGCCGTGCCGTTCACAATGACATACCCATACGGCGCCTCTTGCGTAGCAACCGACACCGCAACCCGCGCGTCCTGCCGTATGTTCCGCACCTTCACCGCGGTCGTCTGCGTGAAGACCTTCACCACCTCGCCGTCCCACCTAAACCACACCGGCGCCACATGCGGCGACCCGTCCGGGTTCAAACTAGCTAGGTCCGCAATCATCGGGCGGCTCAGATACTCGTCAATCTGTTCCGGTGTCATAGCTTCACACTCCACATCGGCAGAAATATCAGAAAGCCTCTCACACAAAAGTCGTCAATCTGCTCTGGTTTCATCGCTTCGCACCCTCCGTAACCGCGGCAATTTCAGGAAACCTGCCGCACACTTCTTCCCATATCAATTCACTGACACGGCGCTCCGGCAGCGTAGCGTCTATGACGCAAAACCTATCCGGCTCGCTCGCCGCCAACTCCCGATACCCCCGACGCACACGCTCGTGAAACTCCAGTGGCTCATCCTCGAACCTCGCTCCCTCTTGCGCCCGCGCATCATCCGCCCGGCCTGCATTCTGATGTAACACGCTGTCGTCCATCTGAAACCCTAGTTGGAGGTCGCCAATCCGCGTCAATCCATTCACGGGCGGCAGGTCCAGCAGGAATGTCAGGTCCGGCATAACTCCCTGAGTCGCAAGCACGTTCACCACTTTAATCTGCTCCAGCGGCATCCCGCGCCCGTACCCCTGATATGCCGTCGTGGAATCGACATAGCGGTCCGCAACTATGACCGCGTCAGGTTGGGTTTGCAGCGGTTTCAGCGCCTTGAACACGAGCTCCGCCCGCGCCGCAGAAAACAGCAACAGTTCGGCCTGATCTGAGATTACACTCTCGCCGGGTAGTCCCCGCTTCAGAATATCCCTGACCTGCCAACCCAACTCCGTAGAACCCGGCTCATGCACGAATTCCACAGCAAACCCGCAATCCCGAAGTCTGTTGGTAAGAATCTCAGACTGCGTGGACTTTCCGCTTCCCTCGCCGCCCTCGAACGATATGAACACCGCCATATCGCCTACCGCCTGTACATCACGACATGGCGATTCGGCTCGCGCCCCTCGCTCGACGAATACACGCCTCGCTCGTTCGCAACCTTGTGCTGCAAGTGCCGCACATACGCCGCCTGTGGACTGAGCTTCACCTGCATCTCGCCCTCTTCCAGCCGTGATGCCGCTCGCTCCGCCTCGTCGATTGCGTCCGCGTGCTCCCCCTCCAAATGTGCGTCCTGCGACTGCTTCCGCACCAGCGCTTGCACGAACTGCTGAATTTGCGCGAGCGTATTCTTCCGCAGCACATACACCGGCTTTCCCCGCTGCTCTGCAATTTGCAGAGCCTGCGTGCTGCGCCGGTAGTAATTCTTTGTCGTCAGCAGCATATCCGCCTTGCCCAGATCCGCGACCAGCTCCACCGGAGCGTTGATGCCCTGCACCGCCTGCATCAGCTTGCCCTTGTTGATGCCGTAGGGCAGAATGCTCACCGACTTCATCGGAATGCTTTCAACAGGGTCTTCCGGCATTGGCACACCCCAGGCGCGGCGCGGCGTATCCCGCCTGTCGCTCCTGTCAAGGCCGTTGAAAAGTGAAGCCACCTTCGTCTCGGCATGCGAGCGCTGCAGCCGACCAAGCTCGTCCATCGTGCGTAATTGCGGCGAAATCGGATTGCCCCGCAGCATGCGATCAACCACATCCGACACATCCTCATGCACCACGACCTCGTTCCAGCCCTGTATCTCCACGAGAATGTCGAACGTCGGAGGCGCGCGCCGTTCCCGCACCGTCTTCTGCGTCCCTCGTCGCCGCGCCTCGATGTCCCCCAGCGTAACCGCCTCCACGCCACCAACAAGGTCAGACAGCGTCGGGTTCATGATTAGGTTGTCCAGCGTATTCCCGTGCGCCGTCGCAACAAGCTGAACGCCTCGCTCCGCAATCGTGCGCGCCGCATCCGCATCCGCCTCAGTGCCGATCTCGTCAATGACGATAACCTCCGGCATGTGGTTCTCCACCGCCTCGATCATCACCGCATGCTGCAGCGCCGGCAAGCGCACCTGCATCCGCCGTGCCCTGCCAATGCCCGGATGCGGAATATCCCCATCCCCCGCTATCTCATTGGAAGTATCCACGATGATGACGCGCTTCTGAGCGTCATCCGCAAGAACACGCGCAATCTCGCGCAGCATCGTCGTCTTGCCCACACCCGGCTTGCCTAGCAGCAACACGCTTCTGCCGCTCAGAACCAGGTCCTCGATAATGCGTATCGTGCCGTACACCGCCCTGCCAACGCGCAGCGTAAGCCCGACCACCTTGCCGGAACGATTGCGCATCGCGGAAATCCTGTGCAGCGTCCGCTCTATCCCCGCGCGATTGTCCTCGCCAAATAAGCTGACCTTTTCTATCACATGGTCAATTTCTGCTTCTGTAATCTCTGTGCTCGAAACGACCAGGCTCTCACTCAGAAAGCGCGCCTCAGGCTCTCGCCCCAAGTCCAGCACTACTTCCAGCAACTCATTAACATCGTCACGCTCCAGAAGCAGATCCCTGATATGCATCGGAAGCGTATCAATCAGAGACTCAAGGTCCGCGTCCATATTTGTTGTCAATAACTCAGTCAAGGAACCTCCTTGGCATGCTAGCGTTTCCACTTGTATGTTGAAGGAAAAAGCGAAACCAGTTCGTCCTGAGCATATCGAAGGACAGAGCACATCAACAGCCCACCTGAGAGGAAACGCTAACCCCCTAACATCCCGTATTAACCGACCAGGCAACTACATACACTTTACCACAGCCGCGCAACCCATCATTAGTCTAACCTACACGGCTGAACCGGAAGAAAGCGACGAGGGATTGCCCATCCGGAGCTTTTGGAGCGATAGCCTGCCCAAGCTAGTCCTGCTGCTCCACCATCCGCGCGAACAACTCGTGGACGCGCGGGTCGTCCGTCAGTTCGGGGTGAAATGCCGTCGCCAGCATCCTGCCCTGCCGCACGGCAATAGGACGCCCGTCGTCCAGAGCCGCCAGCACCTTCACGGATTCGCCCACGCGGTTGACGACCGGGGCGCGTATGAACACGCAATGGAACGGCGCGCCCTCGATCTCCTGAAACTCAATGTCAGCTTCAAAGCTGTCCACCTGCCGCCCGAAGGCGTTGCGGCTTACGTCGATGTCCATAAGACGCAAAGGTTCAGGGCGACGGTCCGTGAGTCGGTCGGCTACGACAATCATGCCGGCGCAAGTGCCCCAGATCGCCATACCCGCCTGCGCCCTCTCCCGCAGCGCCTCCCGAAAGCCGTAGATGTCTATCAGTTGGACGATCGTGGTGCTTTCGCCACCGGGGATAATCAGCCCGTCGATCTCGTCTAACTGATGGGGCAGTCGTATTTCGGGCGCGTCAATCCCCAGCCGAAGCAGTGCCTGCCTATGCTCCAGGAAGTCACCTTGTACCGCAAGAACCCCGATTCTTGGCTCTTTCCTTGACAAATTACCAGCCTCGCGTCGCAAGCTGCTCCTCTTCGGGCATGGTGCGAATATCCAGGCCCGGCATCGCCACGCCCAATCCTCTGGACACCTCCGCCAGAATCTGCGGGTCGTTGTAGTGCGTGGTCGCCTTCACGATGGCTTCCGCCATTATCTGCGGGTATTCGGACTTGAATATGCCTGAACCGACGAACACGCCGTCAACGCCAAGCTGCATCATCAGCGCCGCATCCGCGGGTGAAGCGATGCCGCCCGCCGCAAAGTTGACCACAGGCAAATTGCCCGTCTCGTGAATCTCTCGCACAAGTTCGTATGGAGCGCGCAGGTCTCTTGCCGTCGCCATAAGCTCGTCGCCGGTCATATTCTGGATGCGGCGTATCTCGCCTATCACCTGGCGCGCATGGCGGACCGCTTCCACAATGTTGCCCGTGCCGGCCTCGCCCTTGGTGCGAATCATCGCCGCGCCCTCACCGATGCGGCGCAGGGCCTCTCCAAGGTCGCGACAGCCGCACACGAAAGGCACGCTGAAGTCGTGCTTGTTAATGTGGTTATTCTCGTCGGCGGGCGTCAGCACCTCGGACTCGTCTACGTAGTCCACGCCAAGCGCCTCAAGAATCTGAGCCTCCACGAAATGACCGATGCGCGCCTTCGCCATCACCGGAATCGTTACCGCGTCTATAATCTCCGCAATCATGGACGGGTCCGACATACGCGCGACACCGCCCGCGCTCCGAATGTCGGAAGGTACGCGCTCCAGCGCCATCACCGCGACAGCCCCCGCGTCCTCCGCAATCTTCGCATGCTCTGCGGTCACGACGTCCATAATCACGCCGCCCTTCAGCATCTGCGCCAACCCTGACTTCACCCTGAAAGTACCCGTCTCTGCAACCATATCAACTGCCATCAAGCTCTCCGTTTCACTGACTACCTAATACATTCATTGGGTCAAGTATAGCCAACTAGCACAGGCTTATCAACGCATCGCCCAGCCCCAATCCTCATACCGCTCGCACACCTGCCAAGCCCGTCATTTCGCCGCAACCCCATCCGTCCTAGCTGTTGTTCTATGCTGTTAATATGTTGTAATGTAATGCCTTCACAGGTGCAATTGGCGAAGTTTCACATTAAAACAGCGGCGGCAAGTGCTGGCAACTCTCACCGCCTCCGTTTCAGTTCACCACTCTAACAAGCTTTCGTTCTTAATTGAAAAGAGTTTCGAATATATTCCGGTCTGCTAATCCCTTAATATGTGCTTGCGAAAGAGTGGCAGCAATACAGAAGTTGCAATGCGAGAAACGGAATGACAACGGAATGACAGTTAGAGCAATATGCAATGCAAAGTGCAGAGACCAGGCGCCCGGCAGTAAAACGTCGCGCCGCCTTAGCTCATTCGCCGAAGTGCATCCCGTACTGCGGCGCTCATCGTCTAATGGGACAGGCTATTATATTCGGCTGAAGTGTGAGGACTGCGACGAGATCCAATGGATACTTTTCGAAGGCAGATAGCGCGCGCCATGTGAGCGGCGACGCAGATGATAGATCCGTTCTATCAACTCTCCCGGTCGGAACAATATAGCAAAAACACTACTCACCAAAGCACAGACACAAACCCAACTCACACCTGACAAACGGCTAACCGCCTCTCACATCCAGAGGTATCACGCTGTTCGCCTTGAAGATGAGATAAATCTCCGCTCCCTCACGAAGCGCCAGCGTCTCCAGCGAGTTCGGCGTAATCTCCACAGCAACCCGCGTTCCGATATCCGCATACACCAGCACCAGCGAATCTACCGTGTGTATCCCCGACACCCGCGCCCGTATGGCATTGCGCGCGCTCGTTTGTGGCGGAATCTGCCGCGACACGATGATGTCCCCCGCACGTATCGACACCGTCAGAGATTCGCCCTCACCGCGCCGCACACCTGCCGCAACCACACGCGCATCCCCGATCTCAAGCTCCGCGATGTCCTCCTCGCCATACCGTCGCGCGACCCTCGCTTCCAACAGATTCTCCAGCGTGTCGAACTGCGCGAAAGCCGACACCTCCGGCATCAGAAGCGTCTCCGATGCCCGACCGTAGGCAACCGCCCTGCCGTCTCGCAGCGCCAGCGCATTGTCCGCAAGCGCCATAACTTCAGATATGGAGTGCGACACATACACCATGGAAGTCCCCAACTCGCGCCGTATCCGCTTCAGATAGCCGAGTATCACCCCGCGCAGCCCGCCGTCCAGCGATGCCAAAGGCTCGTCCAGCAGCAGCAGGCGCGGGGAAGTCGCCAACGCCCTCGCAAGCGCAACACGTTGCCGCTCCCCGCCCGACAGGTTGCCCACACTCCGCTCCATCAGGCGTTCGAGTTGCAGCAATTCCACAAGATGCGAAGGCTCTATCCGCCTGTCCTCCCTCGTGGTCAGCTTGTATCCGAAGTGGATATTCTCCGCCACGCTCATGTGCGGAAACAGCGCCGAGTCCTGAAACACATACCCGAAACGCCGCTTCTCCGGCGGCACATACGCACCCTCACCCGACGAGTACAGCGACTCCCCCTCAAATCTGATCTCCCCTTCATCCGGACGCACCAGCCCCGCAATCGAGTTCAGCAGCGTTGATTTGCCGCTCCCCGACGGCCCGAATATCGCCGTAACGCCATCGCCGAAAACCGCCTCACACTCCAGCGTGAAATCGGGAAAACTCTTGCGTACCTTCAATTCCAGCATTCGCAGCACACCATCCTAGCCATCCGTCCGCGCCGCCCTGTCCAGCAGCCAGTTATGCACCAGCAGCGTTACCACAGCAAGCCCCACCGACACAGCAATCAGCCGAATAGCCATCGCATCGTCGCCAAGCAGCACCTCCGAGTATATGGCAAGAGGCAGCGTCTGCGTCTTTCCGGGAATATTGCCCGCCACCACAATCGTCGCCCCGAACTCGCTGATTGCCCGCACGAAACCAAGCAGCACCCCCGCCAGGATGCCGCGATACGCCAACGGAACCGTAATCGTGAAGAACACGCGCATCGCTCCTGCGCCCAGGCTGCGCGCCGCCATCTCCAGGTGCTCGTCCACTCCGCCCATCGCAACCATCACTGCCCGAGCCATCAGCGGAAACGACACCACGGCAGCAGCAAGCGCCGCGATAAACCATGTGAACACCAGCTCCACGCCCAGCAAGCGGTTCAGCAGCCCGCCCACCGGCCCCCTGTTCCCAAGCAGCAGCAGCAGCGCATACCCAACCACAACTGGCGGCACGGCAAGCGGCAGCGACACCAGCGCGTCGAACACCAGCCGCCCCGGTATCCTGCGCTTCACGATCAGCCAGCTCACGCCCAGCGCAATCGGCAGATTGATCGCAGTCCCAACGACCGCAATCTGCACCGTCAACCCCAGAATACCCAGCAGTTCCAAACTCTATGAAGACCTCGTGTAGTTCGCCCCAATAGCGCACGCCGATTCCACTTTCCATCATTGGCGTGAATTGTTCCCTGAGCATGCTATACTGCGTCTTCAACCAACAACAACTATTGAAGCATTTCTTGGTGCGGAACTCTTGAATGGCGATGAAGGTCAGGGAAGTCATGCGTATCCTCAGACGGGATGGCTGGTACATTGACCGAACGCGAGGCAGTCATCGCATCTATAAACATCCCGAAAAGAGTGGGACTGTGATAGTTGCGGGACATCCCCGTGATGACGTGCATCCAGGTATTTGGCAGGCTATACAGAGACAAGCAGGATTCCGCCAGTGAGGTGACTTGGGAATGAGTTTTGATTTGCAGATAGAGCAAATGCCCAACAACTATGCAGCATTCTCACGCGAATATCCTACTATTGTCGTTACCGGGCAATCTGAGGAGGAAGTTCGTAGATTGTTTGCCGAGGCAGTCGAAATATACGAGGAAGAAGAACGCAAGGACGCTCAGCGGGACGCTGAGACGGAAGACCTGCCACGCAGCGGTGCCCGAATCGCACAATAAGCCTACTTACTGCCCCAAGTCCGCCACGTTGATTAGGTTACTGACACACTAAAGACCGAGCGACTGACGCTCTCCCCCTACTCCAGCGGCGTAAATCCGTGCCTGCGGAAAATCTCCTTGCCCGCATCGCTCTGCAGAAACTCCAGCATCGCCTCTGCGCCCTGCACATTGTCCGTACTCCTCGTAACCGCCGCCGGATAAACCACATCCGGATAAGAATCCGTCGGCACAATATCCAGAACCGTTATGTCCTCGGCATTGGCGGCGTCCGTCTGGTACAGAAAAACCGGCATCCGCATTGCCCGTCTGCACATACGACAGCGTCGCCCGCACATCGTTGGCGAAAACTATGCGCGGTAGTAAACCATCCCACAATCCCAGATTCTGCAGCGCAGTCCTCGCGTAGTTCCCTGCGGGCGCGATCTCCGGGTCCGGCATTGCAACACGCTTCAGGTCCGCATCCGCAAGATCGCTTATACTGCCGATGCTCGGCGCGTCACGCCCCGTAATCAGCACTATCTTGTTCGACAGCAGTCGCACCGCGTCGCCATCCGCGATATGCCCGCCCTCTTGCAGAAAGTCCATCGGCGGCTGTCCCGCCGCGAAATACACATCAGGATTCGCCCCTCGCGCAATCTGCTGAGCCAGTGCCCTCGATGGACCGTAGCTCACCTCGACCTTTGTGCCGTTCGTCGCCTCGAACTCCGCAGCAGCCTCCGCCATCGCATCCGTCAGACTCGTTGCCGCGAACACCAGCAGCTCGTCGTCAGCGCCACCGCCGCCCGAGCATGCCGCAAGCAGCGCCCCCGCAAAAACACAAGCCGTCAACACAAGCCGCCTAGTCATAGCCAGTCCCTCAAACAAAACTGTGTCGCAATTCATAGCAGCAAAGTATATTCTAAAGAAGTGCCAAATTGCGAGTAAAGGAAACGCCATGCAGCAGCCCGTCAGTGGCGGTAAGCACGACCCCGAGCATCTCGCCCAGATCGTAATCGAGACCACGCAGGCAATAGAGCGCGACCAGCACGACGCCAACGCATGGTTTCGCAGGGGCAACGCCCGCTCTAATCAGGGCAGGTACGAAGACGCGAAAGCCGATATGACCCAGACCATCGCGCTCGACTCTGTCAACAGCATGGCATGGAACAACCGCGGCATCGCATTTTTATGCACAGGCGACGCCGCAAGCGCAGTACCGGACATCAGCAAGGCAATTGAACTTGACCCCGGCTACCGTGACGCCTACCACAACCGAGGTCTGGCATACTCTGAGTTAGGCATGCTCGACGAAGCCATAGCCGACCTCACCCAAGCCTTGGAAATAGACCCCGACTTCTGGAGCGCATACCGCCACCGCAGCATCCTCCACGCCATGAAGGGCAACCACGACGCCAGCTACAAAGACTACCTCAAAGCCCGCGAAAGCGGCTGGAACCAGTAGTCCCTTCCCTCATCAAGGGGGAAGGCTAGGATGGGGATGATAAATCTTACCCATCCTGTATATCCTGCTAGAACCAGTCGTTACATCACCCTCAATCTCGGAATCGACAGTTCGCCGCAAATGTCATCAAACCACTCGATGACCTCCTTGTGCAGCGGTATCCCGTTCTCCCGCCTGTCCTGCATCTCCTCATACTCCGACAGACCCGGATACAGCACCCTGTCATGTCCCGGCGCGGGCGGCGTCTCTTTCAGCAGCCTCAGCATCCGGTCCATCTTCTCCTTGAACTCGTCAACATCCGTGAACGCCGCGATGTTGAACGCCGTAAATGAATGCTTCGACCCGCCATCAGAGTCAACCATACTCGGCAGCGCACCCGAAAGCATCGTCCCCAGCACCTCAGACATCAGCGCCAGACCATACCCCTTGTGCGAACCCATCTCTCGCGTCCCGCCAAGCGGAAGGTGCCAGTATTCGCCTCGCTCGGGCACATCCGTCTCTCCAGGATAGGTGTCCCGTCCTGCTCCGTTATCCATCCAGGCAGCAGCGATGCACTCACCCTGCGTGCAAGTCCCAGCTTGTTCCCCGCAACATTGGAAGTCGCCGCGTCGAACAGGAACGGCGGCTCAGTCGCAGCAGGCGCGGCAAGTGCGATCGGGTTCGTGCCCAGCCTGCCCTCCGAGCCGAAAGTCGGCACAACCTGCGCGCCGCCCGCAGTCGTCACGAAGCCAATCATGTCCTGCTCCGCCGCAAGCGTCGCGTGATGCCCGATTCCGCCCGAATGCCCGGCATTGAACATCGTAACCACGCCCACACCGATGTTGCGCGCCTTATCGATCGCCATCTGCATCGCCTTCGGCCCAAGTATAACGGCAAGCCCCTTGTCTGCGTCCATCACCGCCGTAGCGGGCGACTCGCTGATAATGCGCCAATTCGGTTGCGGGTCAGGCTGCCTTCGTTGTACTGCTGCACATAAGAGCGAAGCATATTCGACACGCCATGCGTCTCCACACCGCGCAGGTCGGTCATCGTGAGCGTATTCGCGCCCACTGCGGCGTCCTCATCGCTCACGCCCATCTTCTCGAACACAGCGGCAACAGTCTCGCGCAGCGAATCTTCCGGCACGCGCACCTGGTCTTCCGACGGCACCTTGAATCGTTCCAGCATCTCTAATGTCCTTTCAGCCGGCCCAGATGGACTACCCCGGCCTAGCCTGCACGAAATTTGTCCTTACACGCGCCAAAGTATAACACGCGCGGCAAACACCTGCGTATCAACTGCTTGGGACTATTCTTAGCAGTCCTCTCCTAGTATGGAGCAGGGTCAGTGTGGGGAAAATCCTGCCTATCCCGTACATCCATGTCACTCACCAATCACAAGCTCCCCACAATCAACCCGATCGCCGCCGTCGCAAGCCCAAGGTACACCAGGAATCCCAACACATCCGTCAGCGTGGTAACAGCCACCGCCGAGGACAGCGCCGGGTCTATCCTCAGCGCCCTGAAGCCAAGCGGCACCACCACCCCGCTTATCCCCGCCACCACAAGATTCGCGGTCATCGCAATCCCCACCACCAGCGCAAGATACTCGCTCCCCTTCCAGATGAACGCAATCAGTCCGACCACCAGCCCAAGCGCAAGTCCATGCACCAGCCCTAGCCCTAGTTCCTTCAGCAGCAGTTGTCGCGCATTCGCCGGCGACACCTCGCCAGCGTTATCGAACGAATTATCAGCGTGAGCGTCTGCGTCCCGGCAATTCCGCCCTGCCCCGCTATCACAGGCAGAAACGCCGCAAGCGCCACCACCTGCCCCATCGTGCTCTGAAACAGCGTGATGACATACCCCGCAAGCACCGCCGTCCCTAAGTTCACCACCAGCCAAGGCAACCTGTTCCGCACAGACCTCCAGAATGGCCCAAGCGCCTTCTCCTCCTGATCCAATCCAATCATGCGGAACATGTCCTCGGTCGCCTCATCATCAAGCACCCGGATCATGTCGTCCAGCCACACCACACCGACCAGTCTGCCGTCATCGTCCACCACCGGCAGGTTGAATATGTCGTACCGCTCCATCAGGCGCGCCGCCTCTTCCTGGTCCGTCTCCACCCCAACCGAGATTATGTCCTCATCCATCAGCAGCGATACAAACTGGCCGCGCGATGCAAGCACAAGCTGCGCCAGACTCAACCCGCCCTTTAGCGCGCCTTCCCAATCCACCACGAACAGGTAATGCAGGTACTCCGGGTCAGGCCCAATCTCTCTGGCCCACAGGCGCACAAAGTCCAGGGCTTGCTCAACTGTCATCGTCTCGCGCAGCGCAACGAACTCAGGCGTCATAAGACCGCCCGCGGCGTCGTCCTCATACTCCAGCAGAGGAATGACATCCGGGGCGGTCTCCATCTCAGCGATTACATCTTCGGCAGATGCAGGCTCCAATGCCCTGAGCACATCCGCCGCTATGTGCGGGCTTGCAGCGTCAAAGATGACAGGGAGCTTATCGATTGCCAGTCTCTCGCAAAAGGCAACCGCCTCTTCGACCTCAAGATCCTCGATTATCGCGCCGAGGTCTTCAGAGGGCAGAACGTCAAGTAGCGCGGTCTGTGCTTCAGTGGAAATTCGGACCAGCGCTTCCGCCTGGTCCGCGATCCGAAGGCGCTTCAGGCGAACCATAGCCTCGATCGTCAGGCCCTCGTCCACGAGGTCCTCAAGCATCGAAGCTACCCGCGCCATGTCGCCCCACTCATCTACAGAGAAGTTGGGGCCTCCGTTATTCTCTCCAAGTGCCATAGCGCCACCGCAGAAGTATTGATGTCCCTCACAATCCCCTCCTCACAATCCACCACAATTACAATACCCGGGACTATGGCAAACTTTTGCCGGACAGAACTAACTCCAGTCCGCAGGCACTTACTATGCTACCATCTCATTCGCCTTCGATGAGACTGCCATCAACTCCCTCTGTTCCCACAACCGGCGCCTCAGCTCATAAATGCGTTCCGGTTGGGATAGGTAGTCCTCGAGTCCCAGAGCCTTGGCGACCGACACTGCTATCTGCTCGGTCCCGTTGTCAGGGTGCACCGAATAATCGCAGCACACCAGCTCCGGTATCTTCTGAGGATCTACATCTATCGTAATCTTGATATGCTGCATAGAAGTGGCGCTCCCATCTCACTAGCCCTGCATTTTCTTTTCAATGTCGATTCAGTTGACGCCTTCTGAAGTAACTTGCTTCTCCTTATGGCCGTTATGACCGTTGCGGTAGCTGCCCACGGTCACAACCGAGTCTGCATCTATAATCTCATCCGTAATCTCATCCGGGTCCGCAATCTCACTCGTGTCCGTTTGGCCGCGGGGACGCATTACAATGTCGTTCATATGCTCTGGCAGCACAATTCCGCCGGAAAGCACGAGCTTGATCGCTTCTTCCACCGTGATCTCCGTGTCAACCACATCGCCCAGCCTCATCAGCGCAAACATTCCCGAGGTGGGATTCGGCACAGTCGGAATATACACGGCAACTCTCTTGCTATCGTCCCCCTTCATATCGCAATGCCCCGTCACGAAGCCCACCGCGTACACATTCGGCTTCGGCCACTCCACCAGCACCACCCGGCTGAACTCGTGCCCATCGTATGCGGACAGATGCCCAGCAACCTGCTCTGTCAACCCGTATATGCTCCTGATTACCGGTATGCGGCTGAAAATCGCATGCTGCGCCATTATCGCCATCTTTCCCACACGAGGCGAAAGTACAAGACCCGAAAAATAGAAAATAACGACCAGCAAAAACAGGCTCAGCCCCGGTGCGTTAAATGGCAGCAAGTCAAGCAACGGCGAAAGCAGCCCGTCAGTGTAGCCCACAAGAAGACGCAGCACCAGGTAGGTCACGAGAATCGGCACGAACATCATAAAGCCCGAGCGCACCCGTCCCCATACATGGTTCTCCACCTTGTTCATTGACCTTAAGTTCACAGTTCCCTGCATTTCTTTACCTTTCTTAATCTCTGTGCAAGCAAGAATACTCAAGCATGAACTCGGACTTAAAGATAATTTTGGACAACTTTTGTATGCATGCGAAATCTGGGTGATATTCATCCGTGTAAACACTCAGTTAAACCTCACTATGTAAAGCGAAACGGCAGTCATTTTTAGGCAAGTTTCGGCACGAAGGAACAGTGCATAATCCATCTATGTCAGACACTTTTGCCTTACAACGCCGCCATTAAGCCGTTATAATGCCTGTAAGTCCACATATTGACGCTTGACGCAAATCGCGCCTCCCATACTCCATATTCAACTGGCGGCGCCCAAAATGTTGCTCACAGCGAACATTCATTCATCGCGGGCGATGACCTTGGCATTCATCGCAGGCGATGATTCTGGCACAAACCGCGGGCGATGTCCCTGACACAAGGACTTTTAACATGACTGAGTCCAGATTGCAGCGCAACATCCTTATAGTTGACGACGAGTGGGACTCCAATATAGTGCGCAGCGTCCGCAAGCGCCTCGACGACGAGGGTTGGCGCACCAGAATCGTTGTGCCCTTCGACTTCATAGTCTCAGGCGACGACTTCGAAGCCGAGGCGTTGTACGCCATCGAGGAAGAACGCCCCGACGGTATAGTCCTGGATGTCCGCTTTGGCGAACACGGAGACGACAGGTTCAAGGGCCTGTCCATCCTCCAGAAAATCGTCGAGCAGCACCCCCAGCTTCCGGTTCTCATGTTCACCCAGTACGTGCAGGGTCCCGACAGGGAGATCGCCGTGCGCGGCACGCTCAAGTGGGACGCACAGGTCGATTTCATTGACAAGCTCGCAAGCCCCGAGGAAGTCGTGATGAGATTGCGCCGGCTCATGGGCACAACGCCGAACACCATCCGGCTGGGCAGCAGAATCTCAATCGACACGGCAAACGAGGTCGTCTATGTCCATACGGACGAGACCCAGGAGCCTGTCACCGAACTGCACGGCTTGCGCTTCGACATTCTCCAGGAGCTGGCTGCCACTTGGTACCGTAGCCCCGGCGAGCTTGTACCATTTGCAAGGCTCATGCGTTACACTGAAGGCGAAGACCCGCGCGCATCCATTCGTGTGCGCATCCGCGAGATCAAGGTCGCAATCGGCAAAGCAATGGGCGTTCGCTTCGGCGCAAGCGACCTTATAATTAACATCCGCGACAGAGGCTACCGCCTGGCTCCGCCCGACTGACACAATCAAATTCAGACATGCACATTCATAGAGAGCGAACTCTATATCCCAGCCACATTAGGTTGCGGGACGACATTGGCGGGGTCACATGGTAGGTAAAGTCCCGGCGCAAGCAATAGCAAAAGTCGCAGGCTTGCTCATAGTCGCCATCGCCATCGCCTGCTTTGTGCTCGCCCCCGTCTTTGGCGAAGTTCTATTCGCCGACATCTGGGGCGTTGAGCCGCTAACCTACATCGGCGCAGGCCTGCTTGCATTAGGCTTAGCGACTACTCTGGTCGCCTATGCGCTCCCACAGCTACTCCTGCGGCGCAACGGCACACCTCAGCGCGACATGCGGGACTGGAGCAGCGTAACGCAGCAGTATTTCGAACTGTTCGACCACGACCTCGGCAGACCTCTCCGACGCATCCTGGGCAAAGAGCGCGAGCTTCGCGCCTACCTCCGCGCCTCCGATAACGGCACCAACGGCCATGCCAACAACCATGCCAACAACCATGAAATTGCCGAACTCCTTGACGAAATCGAAATGCAGGCGCCCAACTTCCGCCTGATGATGTCCAACATCCGCGTCCTCATTCAGCTCGAATCCCCCGACGGATCGTTCGAGCCGCAGCCCGTCGAAGTATCCGAAGTCGTGCGCCGCATCATAGGCCGCTACAATCCCGTCGCCGCTGAAGCCAACAAGACCATTACATGGTGGGCAGACCCGCCGGAATTCGGCATCGTGTACTCGAACAGTGCCGCAATTGAGCATATCGTCACCAACCTCGTGGACAATGCCATCCGCTTCGCCGGCTCTCAGGTCGAAGTCGGGCTGACACGAGACGACTCCCGCTTCTCCGTGCATGTCTGGGACGACGGCGAGGGCGTGGCAGCGCGCTACCGCCCCCACATATTCGATCGAGGCTGGACGCCCGCAGTCGCCCGTCGCGAAGAAAAGACAAGCTCAGGACTCGGTCTCTACATAGCGCACACCCTCTCAACCCGCTACGGCGGCAACCTCACTATCGAAAACACAACCCCATCAGGCCCAGATAACCAAGCTGCCTTCGTGCTCTCCCTGCCCTCGCTCCCAATCGACGAAACCGTCGCCGCCCACTAACCCCCGCTGTTCTGTCCCGCTGACCTTCCTATCCTCTGCCATTCCGAACGCAGCCAATCTTTTCCCGTCATTCTGAACCCAGCCCAATCTCTCCCGTCATTCTAAACGTAGCCAACCTTCCCCCGTCACTTTGAACACAGTCAAACTTCCTTCTGTCACTCTGAACGCTGCGCTTTCATCCCCTGTCATTCTGAACGCAGCGCAGCGGAGTGAAGAATCTGAAATCGTAACTCAAACCTCGCCCTTTCACCTTTTCAGTCCCATTGCGCTACAATTATTCTTGTTGTGACTCATGACACGACTAGTGGCATAGCCAATCACGATGGCTAATCACGCCTGTTAGGCATATGCTCTTCCAGCCTCTGAATAAACCTTCGGCGAACATCAGGACAATCGGAGACCATCCTTGTTGAAGCCTTCCAGTCGAACCCTTAGCATTAGCATGGCGCTGCTGCTCGCGATCTCGCTGGCAATCTCATCCTCCGCATGCGTAACTGCCCTGCCACGCGCTGTCACTGAGCCCGCCCCGACCGCTACCGCTACACCCTTGCCCACACCCATACCCACCCCAGTGCCGACCGCAACTCCGGCTCCCACCAGCACACCCGTGCCGACTCCAACGCCCGCAGTTACAATTGAAGGTTTGCTCGACGTGCGAGGCCCCGAAGACGACTCAGCCGTTCGCGCCGACAGCGTAGTCGTACACGGCTACGCTCACATGGACGCCAAGGTTCAAATCAACGACAAGCCGGTGCCCCTCGACGAAACCGGGCGCTTCAGCCAGCTTGTCGATCTGTCTCCCGGCTTCAACACCATCACCGTCGAAGCGGAAACCCCCGATGGCGAATCCGAAATCGCAACCATCTCAGTCGTGTCACTTCTGCTCCCGCCGCAGCCATTCTTCCTGATAATTACCGAGCCTCTGGACCAGACTTTTGCAGTCCATCCCACCATCCCCCTCGTCGGACGCACCACCGCAGGAACGGTCATCACCGTCAACGGCGTAGCCGTACCCGTTGACGTATCCGGCGTATTCTCCACCACCGTAACCCTCGAACCCGGCCCCAACATCATCGAAGTCCTCGGCACCAGCACGGATGGCGAAGAGTTGGACGCCCTCGTCGCCGTAATCTACCGCCCATAACCATCCCGTCCCATGCTGTTACCCATATAATTGGTAAATTCAATCCCAGAACTTTAGGCGGGACCAGAAAGTCTCTACGGGCTTTCCCTCAATCCTACGCAATATATGCCGAGCCTGATCGATGTCCCCAATTAACGCCAGCGGGAAGAGCATTTCGAGGTATGTGCGCCATTGCTTCAGAGTAATTTCACCTTGTGGATACGGAATACTCAGTTCTGCTAAGGCTTCGGTTAACGGATTCCAATCGCGTCTAAATTCCTGAAGGGCACTAGCTTCATCAAATTCAGGGGAAGATGATAGACGATATATGCGCTGGTCAACGACGAACCAATTCAGCTCAGAAATCTTTGGTGCAAGGTCTCTGAGTTTATTCCTTCTGAATCTGCGCTTCTGCCCAATGTAGAATCCTGCCGATAGAAAGACTGCATATAGAAAAGCTACCGACAAGGTGATTACAACTTCCGAATATTGCTGAATGAATAGCAGTATTTCGTTTTGGTATGCCAAGATAATTGCTATCAGTGAAACGACACTGACGATGGTCGTGAATACATTAGAAAACCTGCTGAAGGACATGGGTATTCTCCTAGTGATGGGATATACGGACAGATTGTTGCAAAACGAAATTAAGCTGTGGATTATCTCTCAACGATGCGAAGCGCGAATCAGAATCAATTCAGATATCTTCTCAGCAACGCCTGCTTCAGAAGCGAGTTCCCGCAACACATCAATTCTATGCTATACTTTTATTTAGGTGTTCTTACTTCCTAGCCGCAGCACCCCTGCTGCGTTTCCCTGCCGATGGCATTAGTTAATATGCAAAAAGCATTCGGTAACAGTGTCACCCAAAGCGGCACATCGTTGAAAACGCCAAGCAGGCTACCAGGAATTCGCATCCGCCTCGAAGAGCGCGAGGAACACCTATCACCCTACGCAGCCAAATCCAGCCGTTCCGCCGGACGAGCCATCCCTGAGACTCCCTCCGACGTCCGCACCGAGTATCAGCGCGACCGCGACCGCATCATACACAGCAAAGCCTTCCGACGACTCAAACACAAAACGCAGGTCTTCATCGCACCTCTCGGCGACCACTATGTAACCCGCCTCACCCACACCCTCGAAGTCAGCCAGATCGCCCGCACAATCGCGCGCGCCCTCAACCTCAACGAAGACCTCGCCGAAGCCATCGCGCTCGGCCACGACCTGGGACACACCCCCTTCGGACACATCGGCGAAGACGAGCTTGATAAGATTCTCCCCGACGGCTACCGGCACAGCCAGCAAAGCCTGAACGTCGTCGAGCGCATCGAACGCGAAGGGACGGGGCCTCAACCTCACATGGGAAGTCCGTCAGGGCATACTAATGCACTCCAAGCCCCGCGGCGACTTCCTTGCCGCACTTGATAACGATCTCACGCTCGAAGCGCAGATTGTCCGAATCTCCGACGCCGTAGCCTACATCAACCACGACCTCGCAGACGCCTTCCGCGCGGGCATCCTCTCCGACGAAGACCTGCCCGGATCAGTCGCAGCCACACTCGGCACCCGACACTCCCAGCGCATCGACACCATCGTCTGCGACATCATCGACCACTCCTACCATGTCAGCGGCATCAACGATATTAGCGGCGGCGCGAACGGCGCGAACCCCGAAATGCCGCTCACCATTACAATGGGCGACGAAGTGCGAACCGCCTTCATGGAACTCCGCGAGTTCATGTTCGACACCGTTTACATGCCCAACGACGACAGCCCGCTGGGCAACGCCGCGCGGCAAATCATCCGCTTCCTACATCAATACTTCAGCGAGCGCACCAGCGAAATCCCACCCGCCAAGCTGCACTGGGAAGACATCACACGGCGCAGCCGGACCGACGATGAAGTCGTCGTAGATTACGTCTCCGGAATGACCGACCTCTACGCCATACGAATCGCGGAAAAATTGTCCCCTGGCATCGCTAAGGTTTTCTCAGAGAGATTGCTATAATGGATACACTCACCCCCGCCGACCGCGTCCGCCTGCGTACTGCCAGGCTCCAGATAAAGCGAGTCCGCGAACATCTCGAGGCAATGCAGCGAGACGCCCACGGCGTAGAGTACGCTCCTTGGAAAACCGAGGTTGACAACCTCTGGAAAGCCACGTTCGAAAACATAAACGAGATGGGCGAAACGCCACAACAGAACGCCTTGGAAATGATCCGCGAACCATGGATGATGTACCTATCCCACTACGCCGCACTCGACTCCAAGTAGCAAGAGAGTTTGCTAAACCCGTATCAGGACGAGCATTCATATCCGGTCCATCCTGAATAACAATGTTAGCTCCCGTTCTGCCGAAGGATGAATCTCAAAGCAAAGCAGAAAGAGAAACCCTTGAACGACAACATCGCCGCAATCGAGATGGAAGCCGACCTCAACCAAGCCCGCCGCACATCGGTCATGGCGCATAACGTCGTCATCCGCATGCGCGAGCTCGGCTTGCCCGACACCCTCGACGCCGAACTTGCCAGCGTAAGCACCGACCTCGGCGACCTCTGGGGCGCGCAAAAGGAGTTCACCGACCTTCTGCACAACATGCTCAAGACATCACACGACTGGGACTCCATTGGCGACTCCCTCGTGGACATGCGCTCATCCATAGACCACATAGCCTGGCACCTCAAAAGCATCCGCGAACCCATAACCAAACTCGCCGAATACGCATACTCCCAATCCGACAAGTAAGCCGTCACGGTACTGAGCACACGATTGGAGACATCAGAATACCCCTTAACCAACCCGGATTTTGAGGCCGATGAGCAGGAAATTGCGAGACTGCGCCGAGCATACCAGGAAATGCACAAAGTCCACGGGCATGGGCATGAAACCTTTGAACGGCATCCCGACATTAGACTTGAATGGATTATGAAAATCATCGAAGAGCCTTACGACCAATTTGAGGTTCATAGATACGGAAGGCGAAGAACGGTTATAACTGGACGAGTGCCACAGTTGCGACAATGGATAAGCGTAGTCTTCGACGGTGACCCTGAAACTGGTCAGTTTCTCACCGCTTACCAAGATAGCCGCATGGAGAAAATGTACGGAGGACGACCATGGCAGAGCAATTGAGTAAGGCCGCCATCGACCTTGAACCTCTGCCGCAAGCTCGGGTAGTGTACAACCCCGAGCAAGACCTTCTGCTTATCGAAAGTGGTGCCACAAGCGCTGTTGGCGAGGAAATGGCAGAGGGCATCATCGTCCACTACAATAAGGACGACGAAGCTGTGCCCGCCGATGAAGCCATTCGAGCCGTCGCCATACTCATAGATGGCGCGGAGTACGCGCTCAAGCCGTTTGTGGACGCCATACTGGCGAAGTACGGCGTGAATGCAGAAGCATCCCAAAACGGACATGAAGCGCATTCAACCTCGAAAGCATCCGCGAACCCATAACCAAACTCGCCGAATACGCATACTCCCAATCCGACAAGTAACTGACAGTTTAAGGCCGAAGACCAACTATGACCGTTGTTGACGACATACGAGCCCGCTTGGACATCGTTGATGTGGTGTCGGCGTACGTCGCGCTCCAAAAATCGGGGCGCAGCTTCAAGGCGCCCTGCCCCTTCCACACCGAGCGCACCCCTCGTTCATCGTCAACCCCGAACGCCAAAGCTGGCACTGCTTCGGCGCGTGCTCCACAGGCGGCGACGCCTTCTCCTTCGTTATGCGCCACCAGAACATCGAGTTCGGCGAAGCCCTCCGCATCCTCGCGCAAAAGGCAGGCGTCGAGCTCTCGCAGGCGAGCAAGCAGGACAGCGACAAACGCAGCAAGCTCCACGCCGTCAACCGACTCGCCGCATCCTGGTATCAGGAGCGCCTTAAATCGTCCGAAGGCGCGGCAGCGATGGACTACCTCAAACGCCGCGGCGTCAGCCCCGAGATGATCGACACCTTCCAGCTCGGCTATTCTCCCAACAGGGGGAATCCTCTGAAAAACTACCTATCCGGGATGGGTGCGTCCGAGGCAGACGCGATAGAAGCAGGTCTCATCTACCGCAATGACGAAGGCAGAACATGGGACTTCTTCCGAGACAGGCTCATGTTCCCCATCCACGACAGGCAAGGCAATGTCATTGGCTTCGGTGGACGCCAACTCACCGATCCCGCGCCCGACGCTCCCGGCTACAATCCCAAATACATCAACACGGCGGCCACCCCCATTTTCGACAAGCGCAGCTCACTCTACGGCATACACCGCGCCCACTCAGCCATCCGCGAGTCCAACACCGGAATCATCGTCGAAGGTTACATGGATGCCATAGCAGCCCATCAGTACGGCTACACCAATGTAGTCGCCTCTATGGGCACCGCCCTGACCGAAAATCAAGTCTCCCAGCTCAAGTCCCTCGCCACCAACTTCATCCTCGCCCTCGACCCCGACACCGCAGGGCAGGAAGCCACGCTGCGAAGCCTCGAAGCATCCTGGAAGGTCATCGGCGACCAGTCCGCTTCACGCGGTCGCTCGCAGGGAATCCTCTACCAGCGCGATCCCCATCACCCTCAGCATAGCCGCGCTCCCCGAAGGCAAAGACCCTGACGAGCTCATCCGACACGACCCCACCGAATGGGAACGCCTTACAAAGAACGCCCCGCCGTTAATGAGCTACCTCATACCGGCAATCGCATCCCGCTTCGACACGAGCACCGGACAGGGCAAATCCCAAGTCGTCGAAGCAATCTTCCCTCTCATCGCGGCAACGCAGAACTCATTCGACCAGCAGCGTTACCTGCAAGACCTAGCGGACGCCCTGGAAGTCACGCCTGACGCTATTCAAGTGGCTGTGCGCGAATTATCAGCCGCTTCACGCAGGCATCAGCGCCGCCAACCCCGCGGCAGTGACACCCAGTCCGCCGCCCAACAGCAAGTCGTCAGTTCGGCACTCAACAGCAACCGGGAACAAGTACGAGAGGACTACCTGCTCAGATTGTTGTTGAACCGACCTCATCTGCGCCATAATCTGGACGAGTTCTCCCCCGAATACCTCAGCAGCAGCGCAAACCGCGAGATATTCGCCCGCTGGCTGGAATGCTTGGACTTGGAGGAGCTTCAAACTTCATTGGACGAGCCGTTGCTCGCTCATTTGCAGTCCCTGAACGCTGTGGACATTGTGCCCATCGATACTCTCGAAAGCGAACGCGCCTGAACCAGTGCATGCAGCAGCTCAAGCGCCGACACCTGCTTGAATTGCAGCAAACGCTCCTTGAAACTATCGACAACGCCACACCGCCGCCGCGCGAACTCGCGGCACAGATATCCACTCTGAACGAAGGTATAAGAGCAACCGAACTACGATAATGCAATAGTCAATAGCAATAGCGCCCCTTCTCACTCGGAGAGAAGGCTAGAGCCTGCCCCGGTGTAAACAGGGCGTGTGGGTTAAACACCCTCCTACAATTAACCAAAATCATGCAGCGATCGGAGGCTAGCAAGTATATGAACGCTAACATGGACAGCGACGGCATTGACGATATGGTTATGGGCATCCCGCAGGGGGTATCCACCGGAGACCTTATTCAGACCAGCAAGTCCAGGGAAGACGGTTACGTGTTGGGCGAGCCTGAAGTCATCCTGTCAGGACGCAATGGCGCATCCGAAGACCGCAACGGGTCTGGTTACGACGACGACGAGAAGGAATCCGACGAGCCGGACATCGACAGCGAGTGGGTCAAGAAGCTCGAAAACGTTGACATCATTGACGATCCGGTCCGCATGTACTTACGCGAAATCGGCAGGGTCGGCTTGCTCAAAGCCGCCGATGAACGCAAGCTGGCACGGGAGATGGAAGAGTGGAAGCACATTACGAAGGTTGAGGAAGAGCTCGAGTCCCTCTTATCAAGACGTCCTCGTGCGTGGCAGACCGTTCACCAGTTCCTCGTCAACGTCCACGCGTCAAAGGCGCTCCTGGACGCCTTCTGCCGCTACCACGGAGTCCGTAAGCCCAATACCCTCCACGAAATGCTCGCCGACGAAGACCTCACAGTAGCCCTCAACGGCGAACTCCCCGAAGAAATGCTCAACTTCGTCGCCGAAATCCTCAACCGCGAACCCGACGACATCAAGGATGAAATCAGGGAGCTTTCCCTGAACAGTCGCCTGCTGCCGGAAGAAATTCACGACATCTTTGTAATCTCTCCGAGCATCAGCCAGCTCAACACACTCAGCGACACCCCCGGCTATAAGCAGCAAATAGAGACCTACGAACTCGCCTTCAACAGGCACCTCAACCGCGCCAAAATTGCGGGCAGGCGCGCCCAGCGCCACCTCGCAGAGGCAAACCTCCGCCTTGTCGTCAGCGTCGCCAAAAAGTACATCGGCAGGGGCATGTCCCTCCTGGATCTCATTCAGGAAGGCAACATCGGCCTCATCCGCGCCGTCGAAAAGTTCGACTACCGCAAGGGCTACAAGTTCAGCACCTACGCGACTTGGTGGATTCGGCAGGCTATCACCCGCGCGATCGCAGACCAGGCGCGCACCATCCGCATACCCGTCCACATGGTCGAAACCATCAACAAGCTCCTGCGCGTCAGCCGCCGCCTCGTTCAGGAATACGGGCGCGAGCCGACCAGCGAAGAAATCGGCTCAGGCATGGACGTAACCCCTGAACGAGTCCGCGAAATCCTGAAGATCTCGCAGGAACCCGTATCTCTCGAAACCCCCATCGGCGAAGAAGAGGACAGCCATCTCGGAGATTTCATCGAAGACCGCAGCGCGCTAGCCCCCGCGGATGCCGCATCATACCAGCTCCTCAAAGAGCAGGTCGAAGACGTCCTATGCACCCTCAACGAGCGCGAAGCGCGCGTCCTTCAACTCCGCTTCGGACTAGAAGACGGACGCAGCCGCACCCTCGAAGAAGTCGGAAAAGACTTCGGCGTAACACGCGAGCGCATCCGCCAGATCGAAGCCAAGGCATTGCGCAAGCTCCGCCACCCCAACCGCTCCAAAAAACTCCGCGACTTCCTCGAATAGCCAATAGCCCTCGCCAGACAAAATTGTCCCTTCCCCCTTGATGGGGGAAGGTTAGGATGGGGGTGAAATCGCAATTGCAAGCACGGTTATATTCAACACTTATCCCATCCTATATATGCTACTAGCTCCCCTCAGGAAACAACGAACAGATGACAACCCTGACTCAACCCCAACCCACAACATCCCAACCCGGCACCAACCGCACCACGCCAACCGTCGCCGTCGTCCCCACCACGCCTCAGACCGTCCTGGACGACATCGGCACCGCCATGCGTCTCGCAGGCTACCAGCAGGCGCTCCCCAAGGACTACGCCACCCTGCTGAAAATCAACATCTCGTGGCAGCACTACTACCCCGCCTGCTCCACTCCGCCCTGGCAGCTTGACGGCGCAATCCGTGCCCTCAAAGCCGACGGCTACGACAACCTCATCCCGCCCACAACGGCACAGTCGTAGTTGACGCCAAAGTCGGCGCGGTCAACAACAAGCACACCCCGGTCGAGCAGATGCACGGCTTGGAGGCTCTCTTCCTCGAAGACGCAAGTGGATCGATTTCCAGCCAAAAGACAAAATGCTCGCCTTGGACAGAATATACCCCGACGGCTTTCAGATTCCCGAAACCTTCATCGGCAAGAACATCCTCCACCTGCCCACCATGAAGACCCACGTCTTCACCACCATCACCGGCGCGATGAAGAACGCATTCGGCGGCTTGCTAAACCACAACCGCCACTGGACGCACTCCGCCATCCATGAAACCCTCGTTGATCTCTTGCAGATACAGAAGCAGATTCACCCCGGCATCTTCGCCGTAACCGACGGCACATTCGCCGGCGACGGCCCCGGCCCCCGCGCCATGCGCTGGCACGCCAAGAACGTCATCCTCGCAAGCGCCGATCAGGTCGCCATCGACGCCGTAGCCGCCAAGATGATGGGCTTCGATCCATTGAGCATCAAATTCATCTGGATGGCGCACGAAATGGGACTCGGCTGCGGCGACATTCGCGACATCGAAATCGTCGGCTCCGACATATCCGACACCAACTGGAACTTCAGCAGCGGCGAAAACACCCTCTTCAGCAGCGGCCAGAAATCCGTCTATTGGGGCCCCTTCAAGCCCCTCGAAAACGCCATCGCCCGCTCCCCCCTCGTCAACCTCGCCATCGCCGCCTCCAACCTCTACCACAACGGCTACTGGCTCCCGGTCAAGGGCAGAAGCCGCGTCCAATCCGCCCTCCAGACCGATGGGGCAACCTCTTCCAATCCTACTAGGACAAAAAAGATCCTTCCCCCTATAGTCGGGGGAAGGATTTCAATGTCAGCGTCCTGCCAACTGGCTTTTGTATGACAGAAGACGAATAACCTACCCAAACAACTCCGCTATCCGCTCACCCCACCAATACTCCTCGCCCTCGCTCAGCCCAAACGTATGGATCGTGATGCAGTCCTCCCAGTCCCGCACCCGCGTCCATATCGGCGGATCCCCCGCCTTCAGCTTCTCCACAACATCCGCAGCCGTCATCCCGGTCACAGACGCATCCACCCGCAAATCCAACCCGAACGGCTGATGCCCCGATGATATTATCCAGCATCACCGCGCTCACGCCCTCGATTCCCTTCACCGCGTCGATGATAACCCTGCGTCTGCTCTCCGTAACAGCAAGCCGCTCCTCGTGATTCATCGTCATCCACCGCCCGTCGTAGCAGCAACCGCCCCGCCCATCATATCCTGCCGGTCGATCTTCTGCGGCCTGCCGATCCGCGCACTCGCCGTCCCTCGTATGACGCGAACGCATGAAAGCTCAGCTTGCGAATCATGTCCTCAGTGCCAGCGCCAAGCCCCGACTGCGGCGCGCCCATATACTTCGCAGCAATACATGGAAATCCGGAGCCATCCGCACATACTGCCGAGTTCTCCAGCGGGTATATCTGCCCAGCCGCATCAAACCGTAACCGGCACCCCAGAGAATGGGCGATTCGATTGTGTCCTCCAGCGACAGAGCGTCGGGTCCGGCGGATGCTCCACGCGTAGTAGTAATGCACACGCCGCGTATTCGGCCTACCCGATCCTCCAGGTCATGCCTGGTCGTGCCGCTCAGCCGACGCCGAAGTCCACCAGTTAGCGCCCGCAAGCTACCAGGCCGCGGGTCGTACAGCCTAGTGCTGCTATCACGCGCTGCCGTCGCTGAATCAGGATTTCATTCTTCCTCCCCGGTCGTGTCGTTCGCGCTGAATCTTGCTCGTCATCGTCCCCCGACATCAGCGCGGCAGTCGCCAGAGTCCAGCGCCGACCCGGCCCAGACAGGATTTGTAACGCACAGCAGGCACATCAACAATATCCGCAAGTCGCCTGTCCCGCCCGTCATGCAAGTCCATCGCGGAAGATATACCGCCGAATCAGCCATTGCCATCGCCTCGCTGCAACCTCCTGCGCAGGGTCTAGCCGCACAGCCATGTAACGCTGCCGATAGGTTATACGCGTCGCCCCAAGTTCCTTGTAAATCTCAGCCAATGGGGAATCAGCCATCTTATCCTCTCCTAAGGCATCGCAACTATCAACACGCTGACTGTAATCTATTGTTTAGTTGGGTTCGGCAATAGAGGGGAATACAGTCATTACTCACCGTAAAAACCTGTTACTGCAAACCTCTCTCCATTTTGTCATGTCATTCTATAGTCTTACGCACAATATCAGCAAATCCAGTATTCACGCACCCCAAACTTGGCATAAAACGCTCCCGTTGACAGTGCGGTCAAATCTCTCTAGCGAAGCCGACAGCAACTCATCGACTAAGTCAGGCGAGGCATGAGCACGTGGATATTGTGCCCACAATTTATGCTATGAAGACGCTCTTGGATACAAACATTATGTCAGGTTGAACTACAATGTCATCAGACCGGAGACATCTGATGGAGCTATGATAAACCCGACCAAACCTATGCATTGTTGTGGGAGAATTCTTCAAATTCCTTGCAAGGAAATACAGGAACAGCTGATGTTCCGGTATAGGCGTTGCGTGCCATCTTAAAGTCCCAGTCTATAGCTTCATAGCGATCGTCCGAACTCCGGCAGGTGAGGTTAGTCCGATATGTAAGCCGAGCGGGAAACAGCATCTTGGTACCATCGCTCCTCCCTAACTCAATGCTGGGAAGCCGCTCCGTTGCTGTCGATACTCTCGCGTGTGTACACCACGAGAGTCGCGCCCTTGTGCACATGAATGTGGCACCTTGGCGCACGATTCCGCCGCGGTCCAGCAGTTCCGCCGTCCACAATGTCGATCAACTATGACATCGCCTCGTCACGGGCTCTCATCAATGTTCAGCGTCGCTTGCACATCACATCCGCGAAATGTACACTCCTCAGCGACCGATACTCTGCCCCCGTCAATCACCGCTGATAGCACTCTGAAAACGTGGGTGTGCGGCACTCGCGTTCCAAAATTACTAGTCGCCATCAATCACCTTCAAAGCAGTTCCTCTTCCAGTGGAGTAAGGCGGGATGGGGCATATCCTGTCAATTCTGTCCACCAGGGTGTTAGCCCGCGTTGGCCACTACTCCCGTATGCGCCGCGCTACCCAGCCCGTCCACTTATACGGAAGTCAGCTCCCTCAGTCCCATCGCCCCCTCGCGTGCCAATCGTGCCGGGCTGAGAGCCACTTCTGCCCCAAGCCGAACTGCGGCATTGAACCGAGTCGGAGCGTTCACGAAACACCGCCCGCATCATAACTCGTCCAGAAGCGCATGCGCTCGGTAGTCACTCCGTCACGATAGCTCCGAATGACCCGGAGCCGTACTTGTCGATATGCTCAGCCGCATAATCCAGCGACGTCCACACACGCACCCCAGCCGAAGCGACAGGTTGCTCGGTGCACCAGTCCTCTTCGGTAACATGTACCGCCTGGGACCTGCCGACGCCGCCAAGCAGGCTCAGCGCCCTAGGATCGCAGCGCACCCACCCCTGCACCTCACCCCGCTTCGCAAGCGCAGGCAGAACGCCGACGCCGACGCCGAATGCACATCAACGTATCCAGCGAATTGCACACAGACGGGCGCGACACACCTTCGCGTTGTTCACAATCTCTAGCGCCATCTCCAGGTCAGCCTGCTGTCCACGTATGTATGGCCACCCTAACCTCCGCGCCACCTCGTTATCGCCCGGTATCGTAGCCTCAGATGCACTCGATGATGAGCGCCTGGCTCGACGAGGAATCAGCAAGGCTATAATGCCCTCGCCCGCGCCATCTGCATCCTGCCCCACAACCGCGCGATCGGAGTCTCCATCACCTGCACCGCGTCTCGGGAATACCGGCGTCCGCTATCGAAGGTCCTTCAGCACCGTGCGAGCGCGCAGGTATTGAGTGATAGCATCGACTGCGCCCCGCAGATAGGGCGTTTACGATTCAGGCAAAGCGAACTGATGTCGATAGTGACATTCGGCCTGCTCTATATATCGCACCGATCACGCTCAGCGGACCCGCCGCTTCCCACCGTCAGGCCATTCGCATATTCCGATGACAATTCACTCACCATCGGATCAGGCAGCGAAGCAATCCTCGCACATCATGGCAAGCCCTTCAGCCCCGCTCAGGATTCAGCAGCAGCCTATCAGAAAAATACTCCCTCAAGCCCCGCGCTCCCGGCCGTTCGGGCAATATCCTTTTCATTCGCGGCGGAGAATCTCCTCTCACGCGCCTTCAGACATCCGCGAATTATGCAGCGCCGCGTTTTTACAGCGGTGATAGTTAGCCAGCCTCCGAGCCGCCTTCCGAGCGCTTGCCCTTCACCTCAAGCTCATCATTGGCAGTCGCCGTAATTTCCTTTTTCGCCGTACTTCTGCATAGAACTACTCAGCCGCGATTCTTACTACATTCCCCCTGATAGGAGAATCTATGATGGGGACGAAAAAAATATCCTTCCCATTCCTGTCTATCGATGTTAGCCCCCCGCCTCACACAATAACCTATTATTTAATGAGACTACATCGTCCCCGTACCCGGAAGTAACACCCCAGGATGTCAGAACTATGCCGCGAATGATTTTTGACCCTTGATCTCGAAACATCGACCGCGCGAGCATTCGTGAGCCCATACCAATGGCTACTCTCGCCATTAACTATCGACACAGGTCGGCCCCTCCCGACAATGCCGGGTCGTCGCCATATTTCCCGCAGGCCAAACAGGCTTCCACTCCTGCCTTCGCGGCAACACTCCGCGCAGCCCGTCATAGACGCCTATTCACCCTTGATAGACCGACCGTAAGCATCCAGCGTTTGCGGCTCTCCACATTTCCAACTCTCTTGGGGAACGGAAAAATGTTACGAGCTGCTCGCCGTCCGCGATCCGCTCGATTACATTCGGTGTACGACCATGAACAATGAACACGTCAATCCGGAATTCGCCGCCATCTGAGCCGATTGCAGCTTCGTCCGCATTCACCGCGGCCCCCCCAGAGCATCCAGCAGAGGCCCAACCAGCGCCCGACTTCCTCCTCCGAAACAAGTCCACACTAACGGAATCAACCGCGCATCCCGGGGTCGAATTCGGGTCCGCTGTGAACAACCAACCAACGTGCCCACTCGGATTAGCAGGTCTGCCGTCCACCAGGTTCGCACCAACGCCGAAGGCATTTCATTGTCCCGAAGACTCGCCGTCGCTCCTCTCTTGCGACCACAGCGTTCTCGTTCACTATCGCACGACCTCGTAGCCGCAGGCAAGCTCCATAGCGCGTGCGATGTGATGTAGCCAGCGGTCCGATATGTCACGCTGCGTTAAAGTCAGCCCTGCGCATCTCGGAATCTGTTGCCAGCTGAAAAGCTGCTCGTAGGTATGCTTATCATTTTTTCTTCTGGCTTTTCTTGTCCTCTGACCCACTAGCCGCAAACGCGCTCTGCTTCAGAGCGGCAGGTTGTTCATGCCTCGGAGGACACGCCAGCACACGCGTCCGGCAGCCACAGCCCCGACGAACTACCAGCAGCATCTCTCGCTTCCACGAGAGTGCCAGCTGCAGCAATCTGCTCGACAAGCGACGCCCGCCACTCACTCGATAGCGATGCCTGCTCCCCACGCTGCTCAGAAGCGCGGTTCCGGCTGTAACCACAATGCCCCGTTGCTGCCATCGGCGCAGCGGCCATTGGGAGACAGATGGACGCAGTTTCCGGGTCACGGTATGTGAAGAATCTCGTGCACTTGCAGCATAGCCAATCGGCCAGCAGTAGCAGTTGTCGGTTGGTCTTCGGCAGCAGCACTTCCGGGCACAAAGAGGGCAACAGTTTAATAACACCACTAAGCAATTAGATCAGCATTTCGTCAGGCGTTTCTTATTTACGCTCGCCACGACGGATTAGTCGTCTCCATTACCCTACCGCGCCTCCGAAATCACACGCATCATTTCGCGCTACCACATTAAGCCAGGGCGTATAGCAACTGCACGACGACCTCATAGCATTACCTTAGCAGCATAAGACTGTCCGCAATGTCGGTGCATCAGCCCCCCCATTCTGGTGAAGAGCGCCGCGTCTCCATGGCACATATGCTGTCAGGAGGCG